TAGCTCTTTGTATATTTCGTTACCAACAAAAAGATTTTTTCGTACCAAAGAACCTCTTGTGAAAGCAAATAATATTCAAAAAGATGCTTCACTATTCTTTCTCTTATACAATATATAAGTCTGTGATTATTTGCTTTGTCCTTGAGCCCTTTGATTTCGGGAAGAGGCAAATTATGAAACATAACTGCCCACTAATATTCTACTTATTATATTCTTATATCACAGTATCTCGTTTGTCTCAAACAGTTTAAAAGTATATTAACAAACTATTTATTTATTCATTAATATAATACCGAGTCGTTAAGATTGACATTTAGGTTTAATCTATTTTCTTTATTCTGATTCACGTAATTCCTGAACGTTTATTTATAATGAATGTCAGCCATAATTTTCAGACATTATGTATTCATAATCAAAGGAAAGATCTTTTAATAATTAGACTTCGACCATCGCATGCACAAACACTAATTAGCTTATAGGTGGCGTGGTTTTCTCGCATGACACTGCAGATATGGTCGTCAAATATTGGCCATATGTCACACAGATAGTGTAGATAATGACCAGTAATAAGTGCCTGTCTTCTAACACACGCTAGGGACGGTGTAAATGTTGCTATATTTTATTTGTTTTTAACAACAGGCAGCTTATTCTAAATTCGTCACTATTAAACAGATACAGATGAGTAATCTTTAAGGAAATGTAAGTTATATCAAAAATTCTGAATATTTAATTATAAAGAAAAACTCTTTATAAAAAAAGAAACTTCAACATAATAATAATTAATTGCAATTTTTACGAAGGATACGTACGTGAGTGGTTGCAGTGACGATAATAAAAGAATATAGTGATGGGTAGACAGTGCATTTATCGATATCGATTAAAGTCGTACACGCTTCGCGATCTTATCGCCGGTTTTTATTTTCGTGATACCCGCTGATAAGGAAAATGTCCTTTTTCATAGAAGCCATAATGGCGACGGAGACACGCTATTCGAATCATAACTTATGCATACTGATTGTTCCCTTTCACCCTTTACTGGACATTGGACGGTTTTGTTGTACATACAATGCTAACTTTATTAACTATCTATATTAAATATACATATATTAAAAGCAGGTATCATATGAACAGTTTTACAGACGGATTAAATTCTTTATCACGTTACCTAATTAATAACTACCAAGGTTTATTAAATATTTTTTTGCATTAGGTATGTACAACAGCCGATTCCGATTTATATTTCAATTCCAAATTATAAAAGTATGATATATGTAATAATTGTTCATATTTGAATGCTATAGAAACGATTAATATAAGTTCCATATATATATTTTTTATATTGAAATCATAAAAAAGATATAAATCTTATAATTGACATGTAACCTAAGAATGTTCGTCCTTGCATGTCAATACAACACGTGACAGACAAATGCAAATGCATTTCATGATATAATCTAAACCTTTAATGGAATCGCTATATTAATGGTGTCTTTTTTCCATGTAATGGACACTAAAAAACTGTATTAAAATTAATTTCAATAACTTAAAGTATGAAGCGTGTAAATACGTCTATTAACTTCGAAGATTTATACAATAATTTTCGTAATGTATTTTACCTACAACTGCTATAGATTCATTGACATGTAACCAGACAATACTTTTAGTATGAGAAAACGAATGGTGACCATAATTTAGTGTTTGTTGGGGCAATAACGTTCCGTACCAATTATTAGCAGACCGTCGACAACCCTTCCCACTTTTGCGATAGCACCTGCGTCTTAATAAGTCCATATGGCCCTACTGACCATAAGTCACCAAAGAACAATAAATGCGAAGTCTATTGCGAGGGTGAACGCTTTCCCACGCATTCCTCCACTACAGCGGGGCAGTTCCGCTGTGCCATATGCGATTAGATACTATCACTCTCTTATTTCTACATATTATTACTAAAAATACCAACGGCCTGATCATAACGGACTTAGAACGTTCAAGATATGTACATTTTAAACTCCTAGTTTAAAGCCACAGAGTTATTTTCTATGAAAATATATTTAACTGTCGCTTAAACACTTAATTACGATATTCCATGGGAATCACGTGGAAGCGGAAAAGAAACATTTCCGTAAAAATTAGACGACGTCGGGTCACGCCAAATTAAACAGGGGTAGGTATTAGGGATGTGATTTGTCGACATATTTGAACGTAGGATTATAATTCGATTATAAAGATATAAATATTAAAATAACACGTTTATCAAATAAATAATAGTTAAGAATTGATCTTTGGAATTAGATATATAAATTTATAATGTAAATTATATAAATCGTTTATATAGTTTCTCGTAATAAAAAGATTTAAAGGTATTGTTTCTATAAGAAACACTAGTTGTTTTATTTCTATAGTATAGAAGTGATAATAAATTGTCATAATGGAACACATCGACAGTACAAGGCGCAGGGGTAGGCACCCCTAGGCGTGCGATATGGAAATTCAACAGGTCGTGTCGAACACATGACTACCAGAGGAATTTTATATATGGGAATGATAATTATTTAAAGTATATCTCGCGATGAAATTCAGACAGAATTAAACGAAAATTCTTTATAGTTTGAGTTGAATTTTATATACGAAATAGCGGATCCTGTATGTGAATGTATATCTAATAATTTGAACTGTTGTATCTAATAAGTACCTATCATTTATTCATGAATTCGTCAGTAAAGTTTTCTGGCATTATGATACATGTTTTACATAAAACATAGGGTGGGAATGTGCCGTGTTCGAGTTACATTATTACATATAATTGGTTAATTTATTATAACAATGGAACATTATCGTACGAATATTGTTTCTTTTGTATAAAATTTTCTGAAACAGTTTTCGGAAAAAGTCACTTTTTTATCTGTTGCTATTTCACGACTATAGCAGAAGTTTTTTTAATGGAATTTAGTAATTAGGTTGATAAGATATTTTAGAAATATAAGATTATTAGCGAGATAATTGCAAGCAAAAGTTAGTATATTTATATTTACATAATATTCGTTACTATAAATCGATTTTGATGACTCCTTGTACTATAAAGGCTTATTATCTTCTGCTTGAAGTGACCATTAATTCCTCAGTACAACGATATAATATACAACAATAAGAATTTCCAATAAAATGTCGTTCATTCCAGTTTTATCCCGTCAGATTCGACCGATAATTATGGCGTCAGATATAGATATAAGTTGATCATATAGCTAAAGAGCAATGAGGCTGGTTCAGGCAGCGTGACCGTCGCAAGCTGCTGGTCAAACATCGGAAGTAGCTATTGATAGCATCTCATTGTGTGCAAATAGCCGGATGTTGCTAGAGACGCGAGATGTGCTTGTATCCAATACACCTAACTGATTTATTGGCTGCTTTGCATCGGAATCATAAAAATAAGATATCAATTTATTATATTAAGAGTTCCTCTGAATCCAATTAACGATAATACTAACATAATTTAAAATTATCATAAAAATCATAGCAGTTCATGAGAATCGATTTTCGTTATCATGGTGTACGATTTCCGACAATTTTATTCAGTTTAAATCTATTAGTACAGTTCCAATTAAAATCTATTTGACCGACAAACATAGATAACAACACAGAAATATTAAAATAATAGGAAAATAAATTAACAACTTGTTATTTGTATTATGTAAACAACGTTCTTAAAAAAACTCCTTAAATAACAAAAATGACAATCCTAGCAATAAATTCTCGCATACGAGACTAAATATTTATATCTGTTAAAAAAAAATAGTTTCTATATTATATATCAAAGAGAAGTCATTTATTTTCTATTCGTTTAAAAGAAAAAAAATGGAATAGACGTACGTGAGTTTTTCTTTTGGCATAGGTTTTTTATAATGCCGACTACATTTCGCGTTGTAAAATAACTCTTATGCTGGAAATCTTAAGAGCCCATACGGCTTCCTACGTACATTTTCATAAACCACTTACCTTAAAAATGCACACGAAAAAAATATTAGCTTTCATTTAATAAGCAGCAGAAAAGTCAGATAAATACCCAGCCATTTTTGAAGCAAAAGGAAGAATGGGATGATTATGAATTAAACCCTTAAATTCTTGTTGTATATTAAAGACATTTATTTTAATAAAATATATAAAAATATTATTTTTCAATCCTTATTTCTTAGTGAAATATTCTTAAGATTTATGAATTCTAATTGTGTTAACACGTATCAGAGTTTGTATACCAATAAGAAATCAAATAAGATTTTTTTTTATTCACATATGATTCGCTCGGGATTGTTTTGCCTTTTTTAAATGCGATGTTTCTGTGTAAAATTATATTAAAACAATATCGTGTCGTACTTTAATGGAGTCGTGTGTTAACACCGCATGTCTCACAGAATTATTTCTGACATTTTTAGATTCATTGTCCTCCATGAATACGAAGTCACGCTCCAAAAGAAATTAATGCGGTTGATACATACGCTAGGCCTTTTGTTGTTGGCTGTATGTTTTCACATGCTCTTTCTGTAACAACCTTTAACATACCTAGTTCTCTGTGACATACTTACGTAAATAATATTAAATAGCCCGCCTTCCGCGTGTGCCGGGGCTTAAATATACCTCTGTTTATTATAATAAAATAGAAAGGCGTTGTTATAAGTATCTAGGTTGTTAGTCATAAGGCATCATCGCGACCTAGACTCTTTAATACGTTCAAGCATCGGTTGCTACTAGCTAACACTTTGGTAATTTTTGTATCGATTTCTTGATAAGCATCTACATATCAAATACAAATGTAAGCTAAATTCGTATACTTCGTATTGTTTTCCCATATATAATAGGATACTTGAAATTATTTGATGAATATTTGAATAAAATTATATTTTTTATAACCACAATATGTAGTAACTTTTAACTATCGTAATTTTGGAAAGTTTACTAATTATACAATTAAATTTAATGTATATGTATGGTTGTGTATATTGTATCTCATGAGTGCAGCGCGATGCACGTCGCGCGAGCATCCAAGCAGGTGTGCTGATCGTGCCCCCTCCTGTTGCAGAGCGGGCGATGCGGCTCTAGTAGCGCGGTGGGGCCCAGCCCGCCGCCCGTCCGGCCAATTGGGGCCCGCCTCGTGTATGATGTCATCGGAGGAGGAGGCCGACTCACACGCGCCCTACTCGGATAAACTACTGAAGAAACAGAAACGCGTCAGACAGCGCGTGGACGCCGGCGAGCCGCGCAATTCTTATTCTACTCTCGCGACGAACGGACCCGCGCCCGGGCGCGTCGCACACATGAGTGGAGGACTTTACGGGGCCATCTTCGAGGGGCGCCAGCACTTCGGTCTCTTCGGCCCTTGCTACGCTCCGGCTGAAATGTTAAACGAATTATTAGGCCGCGCACCCAGACAAGAGGATGCCGGCGACGAAGCTCCCAGCGGCAACATGCTTCGCGATCATGTCCTTCGAGACATTCTACAGAGTCGGAAGAAAGAATTGATGCGATTATCGCCGGACAATAACAACGTGCTCGCTAATAATAATAATGATGAACCCAAAGAAGAGAAACGCTCTCCGGAGCGGCCCATCTCCCGCGACTCTCGGCAGGACCTCGACGATGCTCTATTGAATCTCGACAGTGCCGGTGACTCGCGGACCTCGCCGCCTCCCGTTTCTCAAAACGAACCACTTCTCGCTCCCAAGTCTGAACCGGAAGACCGCGATAGTGACGCCCAAAGATCTTCCCCGAGACCTCTTGATGTGAAACGTGCTCGTGTAGAAAATATAGTGTCAACGATGCGTGCTAGTCCCGCGCCCCAGCAGCCACAAGTGAACGGATGTAAAAAGAGAAAATTATATCACCCGCAACAACACGACGGTGCAGCAGAGCGGTATGGAACGAGCCATGGCAGCAGCGCACAGACAGTGTCGGATGAGTCTGAGGATGACGGTGATCAGCCACCGATTCAACAAAAGTTAGTAGAAAAAAATGCATTAAAAACACAACTGAGAACTATGCAGGAACAACTTGCGGAGATGCGAGAAAAATATATACAGCTATGTAATAGAATGGGTCAAGAATCAGAAACGGCTGATAATGATGGTGCTTCTAGTGATATCGAACAAAACGAGGATCCCGTGCCCAAGTCGGAACCATCGTCTCCAGTTAAAGAGGTACCTCCTTCAATACCTAATAGTGCAGCGCCGAATATGTTCAATCAAGTCATAAATAACATGATGTCGGGAAAACTGCCATCACACCCTGCAGCTCATCCTCACTTGCCACCTGGTTTTAATGGCGCACTACCTCTTATGCCCCATATGCAACCTGGTGACCACATGCACCCACCACACACTCATCAACACCTTAATAATGCTGCTGCTATGTACCTTAACGTCAGTCAAAAGCTGTTTTTAGAACAAGAGGCACGGATGAAGGAAGCTAGTGAACAGCAACAAATCAGCCAACAACGAAGGCCACAATCTAATCAGCACTCACCACAACAGAGACAAATGGGTCCAACTCCTAAACCTCCAGCCTCTGAACTGGCTGAGCGTCTTGATGCATTACGAAGCAATTCAGGGTCCGTTGGACCTGTATCTGGTGCTGACCTAGAGGGCTTAGCCGAGGTTCTTAAAAGCGAAATAACAGCTTCTCTAGCTAGCCTCATTGACTCTATAGTGACCCGTTTCGTACACCAACGCCGTATTATGGGCAAGCAGTCAGAGGCAGCAGCGGCAGCGGCGAAACAATTGAACAAGGACTTAATTCAAGCTGCACGGCTCATCGAGAAATCTCCAACGCCAAAGATGCCGGAGCGGCCGTCAGGACTCATGCCAGGTAATCCACCCGTCCATCACCCGGGCGCTCCTAATGGCGTACCGCTCATGCCCAATAACCCGATGTTTATGAGTCATATGAACGGCCCCCGTGCGCCGGGCGGAGCAGTGTTTCCATTGCACGCTGAGGCGGGCGGGCCAGGCCACGGAGCTCACATGCGGCCTCCGACAGGCATGTTCCAGGCGCCGCAGAAGTCACTACAGTCACACTTCGGTTCATTAAACGGACACTTCGATCGGGACCAGAATTCAGACCCGAGTGAGCCGCTGAGCCTCGTGATGACCCCTAAGAAAAAGCGGCATAAGGTGACCGACACTCGCATCACTCCCCGCACAGTGAGCAGGATTCTAGGAGAAGGTGTCGTCCAATCACCGGAGATTAAATTCCCCGAATCGCCGTCACCACGGCCGTTCCCCGGAGGGATGGCGCTGCCGACCTCAGTGGCGATACCGAACCCATCACTACACGAGAGCCAAGTCTTCTCTCCGTATTCACCGTTCTTCGGTCCAGGCGGTGGATCTGTTGGGTTGGCTAGATCGCCCCCGGGACCCGAGCGAGACTCGCCGCCGCTGCCGAACTCGATGCTGCACCCCGTGTTGTTAGCGGCAGCTCACCACGGCTCGCCGGACTACATGCGGCACCAGCACGTGCCGCACCACGCCGCCGGCCCTCATCACGCGCAGCACATGGACGCGCAGGACCCTCACTCCGACTGCAACTCCACTGAGATGCCTTACGACGGAGTTCAGCCTACTATATCCTTTTCAAATATAACTTATTAATTTATTTCAGCTCAATTCGATATGTATGTATTTAAAAAACGGTAAAAACAAAAGGTAAATGATATCTATTAGTGTTAAAGAATACCTACAAACTAAGTAGATTCACCATTTAATTTTCAATGCGGCTCACATGAACACGCTACCACCCACAGATATCTTATTTCTGTAATGTTTAACCTTAGGACTGCGCCACCTACTTCCTACCAGTAGTTGATATTATACGACTGTTGAAACCACACAAGTGTTGCGGTTTCTACGCTTTACCGTACTTGTCTATCGCCTACCTATACATGAAGGAAATAACCGTAAACTTAATTAAACGCTGACTTTTACAATACGCTAACTCGTTATCGTACTGTTCGTAATCCTTCTGGCGATTTTGAACTCTAATATTAGTCAAATAAATATTATTATCAATCGCAAAATCCTTATTATAGCTATTTATTCGAGGAATATGTACAGACGGAATTGATATCTGCCAAGGTACATTATAAGATTAGATGCAAATGGATTATAGCTTGTGGTGCTTCCCTAGGTTTACGTAATACAAGGATATAATGAGATTTGATTAACTTTTTTTCTCCATCTCGATTTCTTGAAGTGTTTATGAAACATATGAAATGATTATCCTTGATTCCGTTGTAATCTTCAACTCTGACGCCGATGCACCTACGCAAGGCTAAGCTGATGTTCTTCTGGGTCCGGTACCCTAGCTCCGCGGTCCTCAAGATGTACTTCCCCGACATCAAGTTCAACAAGAACAACACAGCACAGCTCGTCAAATGGTTCTCTAACTTCAGGTGAGTTATATATATATATAAATATTTATATAATTTTAAAAACCATAATAATATTATCACTGACTCGACGCATGTTATAAAAACTATTAGAATATTGTAAACAATTTATCCTGTTTCACACTTTACCCCAAACAACTATGATTCGATTATAATTCAAATACGATGGGGCTTTTAACACACTATTTCCTAATTAACAAATTTACAAACAGGGTAACCCTCGCTAAATCAAAATGGACAAATAAATATCAGAGTTGTATCGACACAAATATTTAAGGAAAAAAATTATTATACTACTATAATAAAACCCAATTACCTTACAAAATTAACCCTTTATCTAAATTTGCGTGTATAATCAACTCGTTAACAAGCCTGTACATTATAGAAATTAACAAACGATTTCCTTGAAAGAAACTGCGGCTATAGTATTTAATTTAGACATTTCATAAACATAACCTTTTAAATTAACATTCCGAGATCTCGTATTTGTTCAGTAAGAAAATATATTTTCATATAAATATTCCGTGTAAGTCCCATAAGTATTGATTTACACTCGGATAATTTTCCCTTTATCAAAGCATTGATAAGAGACACCTGCCTCCACCGTGCTTATGTGATAACACTAACCCTTCTTTATATTAACCCCCTTCTGTAATACTTGATATAAATTTTATCTTCACATAAATAATATTTTCATGAAAACTTCTCTACGATGCTTCACAAATATCAACCTTAGGTTGAATATATTTAATTTCGAATTGTATTTTAATGAATATTTTCTCCTACATATATGAAGTAGTGTTTTTGTATGTGTATTTGATACACTGTAGTATGTAAAGTTTAAATGTAACATACAAGTAGATAACAAAGCAAGGCACGTGTCGATATTTGTCATCCACTTGAGCGAAGCACATCGCTCATATTGAGCTATCTCAAGCCAACGTTCATTATCTGGGTAGATAAAGCGAAAACTTTTGTAAAAGCTTTTGATAACAACACAACGATATCGATTTTAGTGTTATAGCGTCCAAGAAACTTATTAAATATGTTGATTTCATCAAGTCTATCGGTAGATATGTAAAAATTCTTGGTAAAATAACAAGCTCCATTAGTATTGTCCCTTAATGGTTGCATTGTGAACGGAAAACGGCCATTTCCTTGCGATAAACATCTGAAAGGAAAACTGAAAGGGTGAGGGGTCAGCAGGCAATTACACGCCAAGGTGTCCCGGCAAGACAGCCGCGAATTGATGGCGTTTTAAAACCATCTATTAAAATGTTTACAAAACACTAAATCTCCTCATGGCATGTTCATTTTAACATCGGCTACTAATAAATCACTGTTGTTCCATAAAAAAATCTCTCATTATTATTATTATTAAATCAATTTGTTCGTGTTATCGTCTTCATTATGTTAGGATAAGTTAATGAACTAATATAAATTTTAAATAAGAGTAGCGATAGCCTCTGCAACGTCGTTATCTGAGTATTAACATTTAATTAACACTTATGTAGCATGTTTCATTTTTAATTTTAACAAAAAATTCGTTTAAATTTTCATCGATAAATCTTAAAAGTCTTTGACATAAAATGCTAAGAAAGCCTGACAACTGGCCACTTGTTGATGTACTACACGTAAAGGGCTCTACTCAGAAGAGACCCTTGTGTTTTAGTCGCTTTGTCGCGCATGTAGGCACCTTAAAAACTTTTCTCAATTCAATAATATAATTCAATGATGATATAAAATCCTCAAGTTTCTTTACATTTTTCATTAATGCATTTATGTTTTCCTCGGTACAATTTATTCAATATTAGCCCGAGAATCTTAGCGGAGTCGGCAAAACAAACAAACATCTTTTAAACTCGATGCAAAGACAAATTCTTTTGGCGCGCGACTCAAAGAAACTCAGTCTAGCAAACAAAGCGTCACTCGTAGAATTAGCCGACGATAGCACTAATTAGGAACGGTGACTCTCTTAAGTTATTTCGCTTAATTAAGTCGCTCAAAAGTGGTCTGCGGCCGGCCTGCCAGGGAAGGCGTAAATTGTTAGAATAGGCGACACTCCAATTAATCTTTACACACATCCAACTAGTCGCATGAGGGGCCGCACTTAGACTAACCGAGCCTCAAACCTTTTAACACGTCAGCCTGCAAACAGCTTGCCTGTCCGCGACACCGCTCACCTTTCACTATACTCTTAAAGCTGCTCTTAAATCCGCTATTATGCGATTTAATTACATTTTTAGAAGCCGCACATCATTTAAATCACAATGCCGCCGACACACACGACATAAAACATGATTCATTAAACCCGACAGGAAATTGCACAAAGTAATAAGTTCACCACTAATTAGAATAAGTTATATCAAAAGTGAATATTTTAATTAATTCAACTGAGAATAAAATCTCTCGTGTGCAAGGACTCTCACGGTCGGAAACGGAAATGTTACCAACCTTACGTCGCAATTTTGATATGCCTTTTTAACTTACCGTGCTAACTCGTTCCGTATATATTTAGTTCAATATATATATATTTTTTTTTTGTAATTAAAAACTTAAGTGCGCAATTTAATATTGAAACACTCGAAACGTTATCCAAGTGTAAAGAAAATATTGCGTATCTAAGCATACGGTATATCGCATACAGCTCTTCCGAGCGTCGAGTCAAAGATGAAATGGGGACGCGCGAAGTTACTTGCATTGTGTGAGCCGCTTCTAAAATTTAATTGGTTAGCTAATACAGTGCTGGCGCGGAGTCTAATTTACGTGTTAACATTTTTAATAAGGCCTGCCGAGGCTAGGGCGCCAAGTGGCCGGCCATTTATAACGCGCAGCGCTCATACGAGCACCTCCAGTAATTAATACGACCCTTTTGAGGAAGCTTATGAGTAGTTTTTCTTCTAAAAAGCTGCTAATTACTCGTCACACCGACTCAACCGTCTTGAATACCTCTAACATATAGATGGCTCGCATTAAGTATAGCTCGTGAGTAACTAATGTCCCGTTCACGTCTCCGCCGCCGAATGTTAAGTTGTGTACACGCGAGCCAGCTATAGACACGGGGCGAGGTTGGATATTTACATATCATTGCGATAAACTATTAGCGTTCCTTCATGCCCTTTATAATATAATTAAAGCACGCGAGGCGCGGCCGCCTTATCAGGACATGCCAGATACAAGGATATGTTTATCAAATGGCCTATATTTTTCAATATAAAACTGTTTTATTAGATAATATTTCCTAACCAAGCTGAACACGTACGCTTTAATATGTAGCACAACGTCATAAGTATCTCCGCATCTTGAATATAATAGTGGCTTTAATTTTGTTGAAGTATGACGCAAACTCACGACATACCAACGAAAGCATGAGTAAGGCATCCATCAGCTAATGAAAGCGTAATTAGAAAAGTGGAGTTTTCTTCCGACCGCCTACCTTATCTTGTCTTCGATGGGGCATAAGGCTTTTAATTACCCCACCCAGCGCCCCACACGCTGATACCATCGAATTAACATGCTGCTACGTAATTAATCAACACGTATGAAAAAAAAAACATGTTTTGAAAAATTGCACCCGAACGTAAGTTATTATCCGTAATAGCAAGATAATTCTTCGCCTAAAAAAGGAACTGCGTTTTTTTTTTTAATTTCAAGAACAAACAGCACTTGACCCTACCCGTACTGACTTGCGTGTTATTAATTAATGTTACCAAAGAGGTTACATGTCAATATACCTAGCCACACGGCGCGCCTCCGCGGTCTCGAAGGAGCGGGCGCGGCGTTCTTTCATTAGTCTCTACCTTAAAAACCTTAATACGCTTCTAATGACACGACACACGACTTTTGGGCGGGAACTCGGACGTCACGCTATTTTTATTTTCTTTTTTTTAAAGATAACTGGCCGGTGATAAAACTGTAATGAGCCTCTTTTGTTCACTTGAAAAGCATTCTACCTACGAATTAGTTAGTCTCCTTTTCATTTCTTTAACTTTTTACTCCCATAAATATTTGCATTGGATATCTTAGCTGCTATATGGCTATATCTCATGAAGTTGTTATTATTAATATAAAATTATTCCTATGATTCTTGGACATTGCAAGTTAATTAAATGATTATTATATAAATGTAACATAAACAACAATATCCTTAAATAGTTAACAAAGACGTATAAAATATCCAATTAAAACTGTAAACAATAATGTAACATCTATAAGTACAATAATAAATGTCTTGGTACGTACATGTATGTCCAGTTATAATTGACCTATTGATATTTATTCTAACAATTAATGTTCGTAAGAATGCTGAAGTCCAAGAGATCTTTATGATTGGTCGTTGAGTTCATTCCCGGGTGAGATAAGGCTGCGCCAGCGCTGGCTTCCGTTGTTAACGATAGTGGTCAAAGACAGAAGGATACAAGGACAAAACACAAGCGATAACGTACTGTGAAAATAGTCGCCATGAAATATCATTTGAACGTTCCAAATTCAAAATAAAGAACAACGTCACAAATGCATCGACGTGTTCGAGACGCTTGCAAATTTTGTACACAACATATTTACGTATTGTTAATTTAAAAATAATTAAATAGAAAAATCCTTATAAGTTCAAGTGAAAACTCGTGCCACGGAAATCTTAGTAATAAATGGCAATGACAAACCACAGGGGAAATAACTTGAGTAAAACTGAAAATGCGAGCAAGCAGGCGGTTTGACGTAATGACGCCTGGCAACACTAAAGTAATTATTGTTAGACACGTGATCAACACCCTTCATATTAAAACATATTCTCATATTAACACAAAACGGACCTATATAGAACTCCGGTTTGAATATCGAACACATAGTGATTACTTTTTCCTTTACATTATTTTTCTTTTAATAGTTTAAGGCCAGTATTTTATATTTAAATAAGGAAAAGTTTCGATGTGTTATATTTAATCCGTCCTAATTGTTAACCGAATACCGCTTATTAGCGCCAGCTTATAAATGGAATTAAATGTTCCACATGCAATTTACTAAACTTAGTTCATGTGTAGACTGTACAGACGGTTCTTGACTGGAGTGAAAAAAAAAACTTTAGAAACTGTCTCAAAACAGTAATTAGCGAACTAATCCTGAAATCAAGTAACCGCGAACGGTCAGCTTTAGGCCCTTAAACGTCCATGTTTCAACCCTTTTTTTTCGAAATTTTAATACCGAGTATAGTTGGGGTAATAAAATCTCGGCAAGCACTCAAATGAGCTGAACTTTTGAAGCGTGGGGTACAAGACACAGGTCAGTCGGAGGGAGTCATTAGCCAGACCCGCACTCTAGACACTTTTTCAATATGCCTACTTGTAAATGTTCTACTTATGTTAGCATGAGAGTTATATGGAGGCTGGATAAAAGATTGCACAAACAAAATAGAACGCTACATGTAACTTACAATGCTTTGCAGTTTTTTTATGTTTAATATAAAATGAGTACTGATATGTTGTTAATTAATATAACAGTTAATATTGAGGACTAAACAAATTTGGTTCTGTGTTAGTCGAAAATAACACACAAGTATATTCCGTTACAGAGCGATAAGGAAAATTATTTGCGAGAAAGTTGACGCTCGGCATAGATTATTTACTGTCTACAACCCGCATACCGAATATACTTACGACATTACCGTTTTCACGATACGTAAAAAAAAAACGTAAAATTTGCTATATAAGAATTAATCTTTAATATAAAATCATATAAATAATATTATAATTAGTATTAAAATAATAATATACGTTTTAAAAACTCAAGTCCGGCCCTGCACCGGACGGCGCAGTCTGAAAAAAAGTTTTTTCACTAACTGAAGCATTAATCCGGCCCGGTATTAGTTTACTCGCTTTTACTGTGCCTGTGTGTGTGTTGTGTGCATGTGTGCACAGCGCCGTGCGACTTTTACACAGATAACTAAATACAGAGCTCATCGATAATATATTAATCTAATAACTTACATCAATAGTGTATTCAAATTTGTTACAATTATATTATCTTTACATATTAATAATGAGGATTCAAGGGATATTAAAAGCCTATGAAAGAAAATATTATAATTGAAATAAAAATATATAAATAAAAAAAAATAATTACATAAATATAGCAAAAAAAATATGTATAATTTAGAATTAATTATTAACGATAAAAAAATAATAAAAATAAAAAAAGTTGCCTCTAGTTTGTATTACTCTGCGCTCGCTCTGCCGTACGAAAGCCGGCCTGCGTCCACTCAGTACATACAGCCCCCGTGTATAAAACACCGACCCCCCCCCCCCCGCCGCACTCCCAGTCACCCCCTCACCCCCCATATCATTTGCACATCACGTTTTAATAACCATTGTATTTGGGAGCGATCGAAATTAGCGTTCACTAACATATGTATATATATAAACAATTTTTCACTAAATCTCACAGAATCTGCGCAGGCTTTGTTTACGTTACATTTAATTCTGTTTCATTCAAGTATCGATATTCAAATAGAACAATAGATTATATATAACAATTATGGCAACCTCAATGTGTATTATATAATTTAATTTTAAAACAATGAAATGTATGACATTTCTGTTTGTTGTTTTTATACATTAGAATAAATTTCTGAAGAAAATACCGTATTAACGCTAGAGGTTCTTAACCTAATCGCCCGCATACAAACATACGTGCATAAATAGCTGTCAATACTTTAGTGCGACCTACATGGAGTAACGGTTATATCACAATAATAAGATGTTCAAAGCCTCTAAAAAGATGACAAATAAAAAAAAATAACAATAATTTGAATTTGGAATACATTTTAATGTCAAAATTTTTATGGTATAATGACATTAATATATTCTGCCAATGTAATAATAATGTATTGTTATATCACATTACGCCAAGATTCGTCTGCGAACGAAATTTTGTATCATTGTTTATGAGAATACGGATTATCTAAACTTTTAAATAACGGTCTCCGCAAGGAATCGGGTTTTGAAAGGATATTTCGCACCGAAGAAGTTAACAATGAAATTTGTGAGAGAAAAAAATAAACAAAAGTTACCCCTCAAGAAACGTACCGCGTGTATTAAGAATGCTTTAGACAGGACAATAACAATAAATTACATTAACGAAGAATGTTCAGTTAATTTGTTACAAGAAATTTTGCTTTCAACCAAAAAAAGAAAAATTATATGAATTAAACTAAACAATATTATTAGGTGTTATAATTTTTATTGCACTAAATAAGGTATATTAATATTTTTCAATTGATATAAAATAATTATGTATACTTATTGGGCATTACCATTTATTAGTAATATTCATATAAAAATCTTGTGTGAATTTAAAATAACGAATTGTCTTAAAGTGCCCGGTCCCCTCTAAAGATCGCAAGTCTATGTATATTAGTTCACACGGGAATCAGATATTTCTTGAGGGGAACTGCGTCCCATGTCTTAGAACATTAAGAGATCCATTCTTCTGACCCCGCTTTGTGGCTCACGTTAAACAATATTGTAATAAAAGCTCAATAAACTTTATTTCAATATTAAACTACAATTATATTTTAATGTTTTAAACAATCATAGTTATAAATAAATATATATGATTTTTCACGTCTTCCCAAATATCATTTTTTTATAGGACTCAGCAAAAAATAGGACCAACTGTCTTCATCAAACAAAGGCATCCAAGACGTTCGCCAGGTAGTCAAGATGCGATATCTTAAGAAACACGTACACAAAAGATATAATAGCAAACAATAATCGCCCTTATCCCGTACAATCCAGCGAATAAACTACTGTGACGCGATAAATGCTTTAAATTTTACTATTGTGTGAAAAAATTCGCGGAAATATCCATTTATTAAGCGATATCCAGCTTTATCGCTTGTCACAAAGGTTTAATTTCATTTAACCGCATCATTACCGAAATTCGTTAAGGCAAATGCGTTCACAATAGCAACAGCTGATTCCCGACGTGACTTCAAAACGATCACACAATTTTTATTCCGTATGAATGTCAATATGTTCAAGTTGAAACTACGGCTTTACGTTTACTATTCAATACAAAGACGAATTTAAAATTTTTAAAATCTTTTGACTTTATATATTTTTCGCGTCACCCACTCAAGCTACCCGCATCATCTATCAGTACGAACTACGCTAACAGCCTACAAATTGCTTCACTAACATAATCTTAGCTTCATTTTTGATTCGTAACACAAATTCTATAGAGTTCGGTACATCATTTAACAGCAACAGGGCAAACGACCCAATAACAGACATCAAGTGTAAATAATATAACGACCATAACAATCATAATGATAATATTTAATTATAAAGAGCACTTAATAATCTGATACCTCCAAGTGGCATCGTTAAAAGTCACATCTGTTCCAACATATCGACATGTCCTAATCTACGTCATTTAATACGCCACGTGGAAAACACTGAAGCGTTAATTACGCCATCGGTTTAATACTTGTATACTTTATTAATATGTTATATATGAATCGGATTCAGTGACACCGTACTCCCCCAGTCCTAATTACGTGGGTGTAGTCGTGATGCCCAAGTACCCAGACATCACAGATCCTCTCACCAGCTAAAAAGACATCTAATTATTAAGACACTTCATTTACTTAGTCAATTAGTAAGGCTGCATCTCGCGGAGTGCCAATTAAAAAATAATAGAAACCCCGGTGTGAGAGAGACGAACCCTCGAACCTCTCGCTCTCTCGCGCGAGTGGCTTAGAGCTGATGTGCGTCGATTGATAGCTCGCTGTTAAGTGATTTGGATATCTCTGCTTCTCTACTATGTTACCTATAAAGGCTTATTTCCTTTCCCTTTCATCTAACCGGCTCATGATTTCTATTTAACCGATTTCTTTCACAAAGCCAATGTAATATTCGAGTTACGCGAAACGTACCGTCGAGTGTACCTAACTCTGTATTAGGGCGACGTTGAGAAAATAATAAAAAAAATATATAATAAAGTAAGTAGTGGGTGCATTTAAAAGAGCAATTCCTGACGTAATTGAAATTCGCAAGTCGAAATAAAAAAGGCCGACTTAAAACCCTCCATGAAACAGCAACAATTTTTCCGAAAGTAACGCGTCACTCGACGTGATGCGAAAAACTGAATTAGCCCGTCTGAATGCAAACTCGTAAGTAATTAGCCTCGCGAGACTCTCGATGCGCTCTCGTAAGCGATGCGCAGCGAAGATAGCGAAGCGATGCGACACGACAAGCGGACTGAGCGAAAATGACTAATCAAATCCTCTCCGCCCTCGACGACTTTCGAGAGCTTTTTATATTTTCATTGTGCTGTCAAGTGTCACACGGCAGGTGAATTTGCCTACACGTAACGCGCAGCCATTATGGGGCATCCGGAGTAGGCACATCTACCATCGAGTACCTACACGGTACACCCACTATCGTCAAATATTAGAGCAACAAAAACTTATAGCATAGAAATATTTTTTAAATCATATTATCTCCACGTTATAAATATGACCATGCCTTTAAAGTATTCTTAGTTAGTGTTTATATGTTAGTGTTTATAGCTATATATAACGTTTCATTCGACTAATAATGTGTATATTGTTACAGAGAATTCTACTACATCCAAATGGAGAAGTACGCGCGGCAAGCTATCAGCGAAGGTCTGAAGACGGCGGACGACCTCCACGTGGCTGGCGACTCAGAGTTGTATAGAGTGCTCAATCTGCATTACAACAGAAATAATCATATTGAAGTGAGTGTTCACTATAAATCCTTTGAAACAGTTCTCGTCTTAAGAGTCGTCATTTTCAAAATATTTTATTCTGTTTAACTGTCAATGTTTCGTTCTAAAAGACTAATTATACATCTGAAGTGAATATCTACAATATCTAAAGGTTCCATCATAATGCCTAGGTTCTTTATACTACAAATCCTTTGAAACTCTTCTTGTCTTAGAATTCGTAAATTTCAAAATATTTTATTCCGTTTAACTGTCAATGTTTCGTTCTAAAAGGCTCATGTCATACATATGCCGCGAATATCTTCAATATCTAAAGATTCCATAATAATCCCTAGGTCCCACCGAACTTCCGATACGTTGTGGAGCAGACGTTGCGTGAATTCTTCCGCGCCATCCAGGGCGGGAAGGACGCGGAGCAGAGCTGGAAGAAGTCCATCTACAAGGTGATATCTCGCCTGGACGACCCCGTGCCCGAGTACTTCAAGTCCCCCAACTTCTTGGAGCAGCTGGAGTGAGCGCTGACCCCCCAACGACCTCTAAATTATACGCATTGGACGATATCGCACACCAAAATTTTACGACACTCGCATTTAGGCCTTCAGATTCAAAATTATTGATAAAAAAAAGTTTAATTAAATTATTAAAAAAATAATGAATTTGTACGTCGGACGTCAACCGGCGCGATGCGTCTGCGCTCTACTAGGAAATTCGTTAGGTTATATGAGTAAGAGAAAATTTAAGTCACCTAGAATTTTATTTCTGCACATAATATATTTCGCTATATATAATTATTATTATATTATTAAGTATTATCGTAAATGGTTTTTTATAGTTATGTATATCTTAAAATCATTTATTGATTTATTATTTAAGGATTTAAAACAAACAAAAATACGATTAATATATTAATTGCTTAAGTTTTGAACGTTTGGTTGTTTTTTTATTTTTGTTTTGGTCCCTTTCCCTCGTCCTGGACTATGTTTTGTTCCCGTTTGTTGTCCCGTTCCTTTCAGTTGTTGGCACGCTGACGACCCCCGTCTCGCAGCCACATATTGTCAACCTTTACCTCGTCATAATTATTTTAGGAATAATTAAAGTTAACCATAGTCATTAGTACAATAGAGCAGGGTTATTTTTCGATCCACAGACAAAGAATTTAAACATTATTTTTATACTGACAGCCGGTTATATGTTCGTGCAGGTTTTTCAATAGTATTACTATAAACAGACACCAAATTCGAAATCACAATGTAAACATCTTGAGTTTCTATTAATGTAAACATCCTTGGTTTGTTTTTTATAATATTTCGGCATCGTTCGGCAAACAACGTTCAGTTAGTCCGCACAGGACATAGGGTTAAGTTTATTTGTTAGATAAAATATTATATTCCGATATGCGTGGGCCCCTTAATACAGCATCGCTCTAGGTGTGTGTGCGGGGCAGTCGGGGATGTCACAAACGAGATTTAATTTTCGAAAAACTAAAAAAAAAAAGTAATAATAATAAATTTTAGCGACCGTAAAACTATTAAACACTATATTAATAATCGTATGTAACCACACCGTATTCTATTGGCATTCGTTTTATATTTATTAATGAAATACTTTTAAGATACTGTGACTCGATCGCCCCGCAGGCGGACCTGTCGTGGCGGCTAGCATACAAATAGACATGTACCCACACCCAAGCAGAGGCAATAGATGAAGGCGACACGAACAATAGACCAAAAATATAATATGACAACCACTGAATACAGAGATTTAGGCAAAAAAATAATCAAATCACACACAAACGCACTGGGCCACCTCGTCCGATCTGAAGTGCCTTCAAAGAAAATTGATTTTTTTTTGTTTTTGTACAAAAAAAAAAATTAAAAATAAAAAAATGAATACAAAGGGCCCTCAATAGCACTGTCCGCCCAACCGGAGCCGCTGCGATAAGTCCGCGTAACACCTACACGCATCACACACAGTTCGCCGTATCGAACACAATATACACATTACTATTATACTATAGAAGAATACTTAGTTTGATTCGTAGATATATGTAGCGCGGCGCATTAGATCTGTGGTCGAAGGAGCGGTTACCGTTCTATGACGTCTGTGAAGACGGTTAGGCGAGTTGGGAACAGCTTCGTTCGACCTCTAAGTCGAGTGCGTCGCATAACTCGATGTATTTGTTATAACATGTAGTAGCCGGCCGCCGACACCGCAAAGCGGGAACAATTTCAGTTTACATCCTCAGTTCAACAGGACTCCATATATTTTATAGTTTATCGCTTCTTCTGATAGTTATACAAAATAAGATAGACAGTTGTACAGTGATGCATAGCGACGTGTATATAATACGGTAATTTTAATACAGATGACATTATCGAGTAAACTATCTTAGTGCTAATGGTATTAATTAAGGCTCAATAGTAGAAACGGGAATTGTGAATTGATTTGCGGAATTGTACAGAATATTAAGCCATCCTTGTTTTAGTGTATGCGACCGCGCGGAGTCGGCGGCAGGCCCTAGCTAAGCAAGTGTAAGCATTTTTCATTTTGTATTACACTTTGTTGAAGTTTAATTTGTAACCATTTGAACTATTACAATAATAATAAGAGTACCTCAGTTTAGGATGGACCAGGCGTCGACTGGTTTAGTATATCAGATTGTATGTTAGCATGAAGATACATTTGAGACATCGACACAGAATGAACACGCAGACTTCCCCCACCCCAATTCGGAATCAACGGTTTTATGTTCAAAATTCCTCCTCCTCAAGCCCCGTTGTTGGGTTCCAGCCAACCTTCCACACCAATAGCCCGGGTTAATTTTCTTATACATGTTGGTTCGTCGATCTGTAACACAGTCGCCGCAGGGCTTATTCAAGAACGAGATTCGTTCCATGTTATGTTAAAATTGGTTTTTGTTAATGTTGTCTGTTTTGTTTTTGAGGCTGGCTTTTCAGAGACAAAAAAAAAAACTCACGAGACCTACAAAAGCGAACATTTTCCTAACCAGGAATAGAATATATTTACCACCTTTGACTCTGAAAGGTCCGTTAATTTGGTACACTTACCTATTTAAATCCTTGTATAGTAAGTAATGAATCCGTTATTCAAATCTCTCCATAGATTTACTTCATAATAACCTATTAATAGTTAAAGCAGGCTACACACACATATTACAATAGAAATGTCTTGATTTCCCATCAACAGTATTTAACCGACGTGCCGTAATACGCAGATACTTGGAGCCGTTCTTTTGATATATAATTTGGCAAGGTAAGAGTAAAACGACAAATTAAAATATAATCATTTTTTAGATAAATAATTTTGTCCGGATTTTATGATTATGTGATTCCCTGTGCATCAAGACCACAATGGATATTTTATTAGATGGAGCCGATCGCAATAATGTCGAATAAAATCACTTAAAGATAACGTCACTTTGATTTATCGGTTGACAATTTTTTTTTTGTATATTAAATGTATGTAAAGACTCAAGTTTCAACATCGAAGTATTAAGTCCACAGTGATCATGGGGCTAACCCGCAGAAGAGTACAAAATTCGGTGTGACTTTCTCATGTTTGTAATGTTATGTATTAGATTATATAAATTGTCCTTTTGGCGACGTCAAATCTAATAGTTTGGGCATTTTGTACGTAGATGATAGTTTATTTAGGTTCCACGGAATGTGTCTAATGTTTTTCCTTTACACTTTTAATATTTTTGAATCCGTCTATGAAATGAATATCTAATTATTTTCAAAATTTATTATAAACGAAAAAAATATGATATAATGATATATGTATGTATATATATTCGGTTTCACGTTTGGGTATTATGGTTCCTAAATTTTGGAAATTGTAGTCTCTATTGTGTAGTGTTTGATTTCGAGGTTAGAACATATAGATGTACCAAATAGTTGTATCACTTTACTATACAAAAAAAAAACAATAAGAAAGCTGAGAATTAGGTAGTTATATAATAAGTATAATTTGTTTATACTAACTTAATAAAAAAAAATTGTCAAAATTGAGCACGGATGTACCTACTATTAGGATCAAAGAAAACTGCCGATGCTAAACAGTAAGTGTAAAGTAAGTTAGTTGTACTACATACGATCGGAATCTATTGATTTGTAAAACATAACACACGGTCCTACAAAGGCAACAGCGTTCATAATTTTGTACATGAGATATATATTAGTGATATACATACATATGTAAAGGTAACTTCAATATCCTTGTGGTCTTCATCGCTAACAGCGTGACACGTTCAGTTCTTATACTTGTGTGTTTGTATGTAACTATGTGTTATGTTGTTGATATATGTTTTGGTGAGTCGCAGACCGTGCGATGACTTCTCGTATTATATATTTGTAAATTCCAGCGGGCGGATGCGGTCGCCTGTGATAAAATTAGTTACAAAATTAAATTGACAAAATTAACTAATTAATGATCGCGTGCGATATTTTATCCGCAATTCGAACGGCCGCGTGGGTCGCTCGCGTTTCCAGGCGGATAAAATACGCGACGTTTATAAGGAACTAACTAAATTGACTAGGGTTTAGGCATTATTTTCGATATCCTCGCATTTCGGCTAAGTGTAAGGTGGCCGCGTCCGCGCGTTTTCGATATATTTAGTACAAATTTCAAGATGTTAAGGTTACGAGGCTCAAAGCTTTTCTTTGGAGGCGTTCTCGCCGCCGTCCGCACCCAGCGCAGACTGTGACCAGTCGTGTGTAAATTTTATTCAAAAGAGTATTTTTGTATTGATATTTCTAAAGTTGGTGTAAAAATCAAAATTTCATAAATTATAGCGATGACGAAAGTGAACATTAGGTAATTTTAGAGTGTCATGCGTTTTTTGTATTTAATTTTAAGAATAGTATGGGATATTAAACGTTTAGGAACATTACCATTTGTAAATAAAAAGTTTAGAGTGATGGGTGCGCGCCGGCGGCTGGACGGCCAGTTATATAGATAAAAAAAATATATAAATAACTAAAAGATGTTTATATGGTTCTGGATGTAAAAGATAAATTAAAGGCATTTTTTAAGGTGAAAAGTGGACAAAAAAATAATAATACTAAAATTGTAAACGATTCCTTCGTATTTGTCTTAGAATGGCTACTAGGGTCACTATTGTAATCTGTGGGCCTCAGACAAAACGTACCTAATGTCACAAAACCTAACCTACATTAATTATTACTGTTCTTGATAATACAACGTTAAAGTAATGTATCACATTATAATAATGCTTATTATTTACGAGCGTGTGTCTTTGTCCCTGGATGTTTAGGAACTAACACAAGTTTAATGTTTAGACATAAAAGAATAAGCGATGTGGAAAACGAAATAATAAATTATATCTATCGGTCCGCCGATAGGTCGTTGCAAATTTAATTAATGATATATTGGTATGAAGAATTGGCAATTTCAAAATTTGTTAACATAAAAATAATATAAAAAAAAACGATGGAAAAGTAAAGCGTAAGTTAGACATACAGTCAGCATGTATTGTTGATACTGAGGGATGTTTCTTCGTGAATGTAACGAGTAATAAAGCTAAGCTTTTATTTGAACACTGTCTTTTATTTATGCACCTCACACACACCGATAACATTCAATTATTTAATTTTACATACCTTTGTTTGAACTCATTGTTGACAAAACACTTATTTAAGACGCTGAACTGTCAAAAAATTCTAGCATTGACAGTTTTTTTACTAAATGTCTAATTTCTATTAATCAAATTAATGTTGCCCTTGTAAATAGTTAAAATATTAACATATATATATATTGGAAATATAATATCAAACTTAAATTTGTTAAAAATTATTGCAATGTTAAAAATTTAATAATTCTAACTAATTAGATTCTTTCTTTTTATTAAAATATCTTCTCTAATATGAAATAATTACAACGATCCGACATCAACCAACTAAACAATGAGAATATTACTTTAAAGCTAATAACATTATGTTCATTTTTTGTATAAATATAAAATAACTAAATTTCATATATATTAACAGGCATTTTTTGAAGTATTAATTATTATTAATCTGTCAAATTATTAATGAACGAAATATAGTTCTATTAATTATAATTCTTGCTAAATTTTTTCCTTAATAATTCATAACGTGAACTAAAAGATAAATTGAGAATCTTCGTATTCAAAGAAAAACAAGTTCTATTCACATTACTATAGTAGTCACAAGACAAGTATGAGATGACAAGTATCCCTTATTCTCTGGAAATATAGACTTAAAGAGGTTAAGGAATATGTGAATAGAATGAGTTATCTCACCCTATAAATAAAAATAATAATGAAAAGAATTCTGAATACTATGAATAGATTAAAAAAACTATTAACGTATTAAAATACTTACATTCGAACCTTTCTTTTCTTTATATAAAAAATAGGTACATTAAAAAATTCAACAAATCTTGTAAAGTTTTCTATTAGTTCTAATAACATTTCGTTTTTGTAACACATGTTCACGTGTGGTGTCAATGTCAAAACAATAGTTTATGAATCAATTTTAGAAATTACCTACCTAAGTATTTTTTTTACTTAATCAAATTTTTTAACTTAATCCCGTACATTTTTCTAAACATTTCTGACAATTTTTTTCGGTCCATTAAAATTGCAACCAACAAAAGTATATGAAAAAAGTATTAAAAAACAATTTTGGTTAACGGACAACCTTTTTATCTGATACAACACATTAAATTGCATTCATACGTCCAATAACTGGTTTTAAGGATAACAACTGGAGTATTTAAACTTCATTGAATAACTCCAGTCTAAAATTCAACTCTATTAAAAGAGACATCGGGATGCATAGAAATAAATAGACTTAAAAATATTTACACTTTAAATATTAAATATATCATAAATATAAACTGTACAGTTACTAAGATTTTTTTTCTAATAAACTTTGAGATGCTTAAAGTGCGTATAAACATTAATTGATCGTTTTACAAAATTGAAACTAGCATTTGTTAATCTCGGTTTAATTAATCAAGTTGTTTCGAATGAATGAATGAATTGAGGAATGAGTGAATGAATCACATGAAAATAATGACACATCAAATAAAATACATAATATATTTTGTTTTTGACTTTGTGATTTAAAATAATAACTTTTTTTCTAGTTCGAATTAAAATTAGGTATATTTTTGCTTATTTTCTGCTAAGCGAAATGAATTATAATGTTAACGTGATGAATAAGTAAGTAATATAAGATATTTATTGCAAAAAAACCACATATCTACAACAAAAAATATTTGTATTTGATTGTTCTAAATTCAAATTTTTAAATTTAGAATTAAAATTTAAATGAATAACTTTAAAAAACGCTATTAAGTTATCCGTACACGACAAAAACTCTTCAAAGGTAAGGCTTACAACATCTATCGTTGGTTAAGAAACGTCCAAATTTGATATTTAATTATTATATACATGGTAAGAGTCAACATTAAGTATACAGGACAATGAAACAGTTCTTCCTTTTGCTAAGCTTGCTTCGTTTTGCGTTAATTTAAATTATGTATACAATATATTATGTTTATAAAACAGAATGTTAATTTACTATTAAAAAAAATTCAGTGTTGTTTGATAAGATTTCGTTATTTTAATTTAATTCAATATCAGGTTGTACGTTTTTAAAGATCTCATTTGTACTTATTTTTTTAAATATTTTGTTTGAATAGCGCCATCTGTGATTTATCTATTGCACTGATAGTACATATTTGTCAGAGGTATCACATATTAGGTTACAGTACAGATTATTTACTTAATCGGACAGGTGGCGCTTTAGCCAATATAATTAATCTAATTTATCATTATAATTACAAGAATCGTTTAATAAACCGTATAACATAAATTGAATGCTCAAGACCCCAGAATCAACTCAGGCATCAGCCCTTATTGTTCATAATGCTAATTCTTTTTCAAGTTGTGAATCAAGTAGTAAGTCACCAACCCCCATCTTGAGACAAGGTTATCAAATATGCAAATTAACTATAATTTGTCCATTAAGGTCTACAACAGCAGGTTTTCCTGTACACTGATCTCGAAGAACTAATTGAACAGTGTGTTCGTATCACTCAACTATGCATAAATATCAGCATCCCCTTAAAACGTGTTATTACTTCACAGTGTCGAGACAGCTAAATTTAACACGATAAATATTAATTATTTCGCTCATCCAGTCTCGAATGGGTAATTTGATATGTATAAGTGAAATTGTTTAAAACATCTTTTAATATTTTAATTTGATTAACAATATAATTACTTATATTATGTTAAGATATTTAAATCAAAATGTTACTCTTAGATTTCGATAAATATCGATGTTTAAGTGGCTATAAAGTGAAAAATAAAGATAAGTTTTTTTGGAAAATCGATTTTATTCTAGGTCAGCATAAGATTAAAATATTACGAAACATTTTCGTTTTAAGATAAATTCAGGTTTATCTAACATAAGTGTATACCTATCATATAAAATTATGTATAAACTAGAAAAAACAGTATTATTGAATTTCATCTCTAATAACCGAATCTATATATTTAGTCCAGCGTTTTTCAAATTCGTGAACAATCTTATCTTTGTTATGGTAGGTGCTGTAAACTAATGAATTGATTGCCAGTTTCTTCAGTAGCCTCAAATCAGCGTGCCTGCTAGCCACACCCACGAAGGTTACATAAAAATCATGCGATAATGGCTCAGCCTCCCAAATACCGGGATCATCGCTAGACAAAACCACGGGAAGATTGTTAGCCAAAAATATAGCCAAAGGATGATTTCTTACATCGGACACCAGTTTTAAAACAGCATTCGATACAACGTTAACCTCTATAGCAATATCTTTCTTCTTAATCTCCTCCATCAGTAAGGGGTGTTTGGCGATTGCAAACGCATGCCCGATACGTTTTGTATTAAGAGCTATAGCGTCAGCTAAGTTTTCATCCGAGCTGGTCCCGTACCAATTTGATTCACCAGCGTGAAAGAAATAATCCATTTCTTCCATGGAATCCGACAAAATCTCCATAAAATCTTTCGTTGGCGCTCCCAAATCTTCTTGACCCACTAAATCGAACCCGGCTAGAAATTCAGGAAATTCTTCTCGTATACGTTTAGCCACATTTAAGTAATGCCTAACCGTTTTCAAATCCACGTTTCTTAGTGGTGCATATATAAGTTTGGCTCCATAAAAATCGGGGTAATCAGCCATAAAGCGGTCTAAAACTTTCTTATATGACCTGACTGTCTCTATTTCGTCGAACACAGTTCCATCAAGATCGTACAAAGATGGTAATACACTTCTGAATTCTAAATACATAACGTTATCGTCCCTTAAGGCTCTTAGTGTATCGTAAAAATATTGTTCCCAGATAGGCCGGTAACACAACATTCCTGATGTCGTTATGAAAACCTGCTGAAAGTCACTCCAGACAGCGTTAATATCTCTATGAATCAAGTGTGGATCATCTATCACTATCGTAAAATGCTTCCTTAAGTCAGCGTCAAATTCCTCAACATTCCCTGACGAAAATCTGGCACTCTTCATCAATTGCCACTGCGTGTTACACGGCGATAGTGGTGTCTCTAATGAGAACAGGAATTTGACGTTATTTTCGTAGAAACAGACGTAAAGATCATCCAAATAAGTCAATGACAAAACATAGTCGGGACTTAGAATACCAGTGTCGTGTACATGAAGCACAGCACCTTTAGGCATTCGCTGAATCATTTTAAATAGTTTTGATCTCTTCACTTCCTCCTTATATTCAAAGAAATGTTTAGAAAAATTAAAATATTGCGGATTATCAAACGCATAATCTATCTCCCTTCTCTTAAGATCCATTATAATATTATTGGCTTTTTCCTCATTATCACTCAAGACGATATCATTTCCCAGCATCATATTCAATTCTTTTTGTAAAATACTTTTCCTGTACTCAAAAGTTTCCTTGAAAACATCGTTCATTAACACTGAATCAAGTAATACCACAAAATAGAATATATAACACCACATCTTTATTTGTTTGTGTTAATAAGTCCGAATGCACAATCAGAACACTCGCTCGTAAGACAGGCACTTCAACAATAACGAAACCGGTGGGTAAAAAACATTTAAATAACTAAAAAAGGGCGGCCGAAGCATTCAATGTCCGGAAAACATTGTGCGCTATACTTCGATAATGATTTTTATATATGTATATCTGATCATATAGCTACATGGTAACAATTTCGTTAGATAGGTTAGTATAACGCGTTACGTATATAGTGAACTTGACACGAGCCGATAATATAAATCATTACTTATATTCCACAACATTATCTTATCTTAAACCACAAATCATAATCTTATTTTAAATTTACAAGTTGTTCATATCAACATTCATGTGAGTGTGATCCAATAGATATAATATGAATAGTGTGCTCTTAAAATTAAAGAGTTCAGAAACTTAAGAACTTCTCTTACCTTTATACTTTCACAATTACTCCTGTTACATACAATTACAAGTTACATTAAATCAAGCTTATAACATACAAGTTACATTAAATCAAGCTTATTAAATCCTTAACACAAACACCAGCAGTTATTAAAAGAAGATATTAAAAAAAAGTATCACAAGGCAACAATAACTAAAACACTCCGTCTTGATTTGAACCAAGCAAAAAACTTTTTTTAAAACTTGTTAAGTAAACTACCACGAACAATCTTCATAGCAATATTATTTAAACTAATGAGAAAATTAATACTATCTTTCACAATATAATTTTCTCAAAAAAATTATATTGCTAAGATTATTAAAATGTCGGAATACATGGCCATAACATTTACCGCCTTTTTTTGTCACATTGGCAACATTTTGAGTAGCTGGGTCGTCTACATTCAGCCAATCTTTTGTCTAGTGAAACCGTTTTACTCCAATATCCAAGGCTAGTTATGCAATTAATAACAATTTGTACACAGTACTTTGTCAATTTACTTAACTAATTTAATACACAATAAAGCTATTATTAAAATCTTTAATAATTTTAAAAGTTTGTTATTCAGTAAGTTGAAGCTATTCAAATTGATTTTTTTATTGCAATAACACGCACTTTGCATTAACATTAAAAAATTACAATGAATCACAAATAAATTCATAGTATGTAATGCATTTTTCAATTAAAATAATAATAATATGAAAAATTTATGTAAATATAGCAAATTATAAAAAAATATAATTGAATAAGTATGTATATTATAATACATAGTTAAAAGTATTATATCGTTATAGAGGAATGTTTTAATTTGTATAGACAATTTATAATCTCATAAGTTCAAATTATATTTATAGTTTTTTAAACATGATTTACAACGACGTTACAAATAAAAAACATTTTGAAGTCATTCATAATAAAAATATATTTACGCTTTATTTTGCAACAAACTTTGGCTACAGTGACTTATATTAAATAAAATTAAAAGAAAAAACTAAATAATCATAAAGGTATCTAAATATGGAATAGGTACCCATGTATGGAATACCATAAGCATCATCAAAATTTAACCTTAACTTAAATGAAATTCTTTGGAAACTTTTGTGTAACATAGAAAGTAACACAAATTATTAATGGTTAAAAGACCCGCCTCTCATGCACGAGGGCGCGGGTTCGATCCTGGGAAGTACCAATGTGATTTTTCCGAGTCATACGAACTTTTTAAGAGTATTTAGATACCTCTGATTAATGCTTTCCCAAAGAAGATTGATGTCTGGCAGGCGGTCGGTAGTAAAAACAATTAGCCAAAACTATTCACAACGTGTAAGGCAGACCCTGGCTAAAGCTGGGAAATTGCCAGGTAGAAGAAGAAGACAAATCTAGGCATCAGACTCTGGTCCTGCGTTATCATTATGTGCCCAGAGCTCTATTAGAAGGTTTCGTTTTCTTGTTTGATACTGGACTGATGTCATATGGTGAAAAAAAATCCCAAACTACTGCAAGAAATTCCTGGAGTTGAGGGCACAAGTTTAATATTTGAAAGAATAAATTTAATTTATAATTAACATCATAAAGTCAACTGACAATATTCCATAATTAGATACTATAATTTGTCTATATTTGGATTTCCCAACAAATTAACACTGACCTTTATACCTATGATTATATTTGTTAAGGTAATACGACCAAATACTGGTAAAACCCACAAAAGAACATCTAAACTACGTCTAAAAGGCATAAAAACAATACGGTGTATACTTTTTTGGACGAAAATTATTGGTTTTTATATACCGTAGAAAGTTATACAGAAGAAACGAAACAAAACACTACAAGTATGAAGAAAGGGTTCGCTAGACTGACATGATACCACTTGTACGTTCGAAGATGGACAAGAATAAAAAGACAAACATTTTTTACTGAATACATCACTCAAGTATTCCATATTAGGGATACTTTTCCACATTTGGTAACCTTCCTCTGTACCTATAGTTTGAAGTCAGGTCTTAAAAAACAAAACTGTTAGGCGAAGTTATCTTACGTTCAGCTAGTATTAAGACGTATATATTATAACATGATTTTTTTTTAAATTTGATGATGAATTTAATTCAGAATTACATATTCTAGACCGTATTTTTTAACTTCCCCACATAATTTAATATTAAATCTATAATAATTTGTGCATACTTTAAAAACAATTTAAACTTTTAAAAAAAAGAAGTTTGTGTTACATATTGATTGTTTGTTGAATTATTTACGCTCGACTTCAGAAAAATATAGGTATTTCAAATACACTAGCGTAAGTACCTATATATAATTAGTGTTTAATTTACTTAAATTTTATTTTGGACAGGTAAAGATATTAATTATTAATATTTCCTGGTGTACAAAATAATGAATATCAAAATATTTTTTGCAAACGCTTTTCAGTGGAACAACATTCCCAATTGTGGGTGGCTTCTTCAACACTGACTATAATATCTTTTCATTTTTAACATTTTGTAATTGATTTTTCTTTTTTTTAATATAATACAAATAAATATATTTTCTAAATATTCTATATCTTTTGATTTTTTTTATGCTGTTTCCTCCATGACGTAGTCTTCTAAACTGCATTATAGGGAAGTGAACATTTTCGCTTAAAACTTAAATGAGATGTCTGTAATTATGTATGGTTTTTAATTAACATCGAGATTAAGTGTTAGAACTATCCAAAGATCATTTATATGTAATATATGGAAAATTTAATTTTTTGTTAATTTAAACAAAACGTACTTTGCAGTTTATACATCTCGATGGATGAAACAGAAATTCTGCTTATTGTAATTACTAATTAACATGGTTACCACAGATGTTGTCTAAAACTTACACAAATGATGAATACTCATATTATTATTGTATATGTAAATATTGCAAAATTAATAAAACAATAAATTTCAGATATAATTTTTCAATAGTTACAGTAAAAAAGAAATAATAATAAATTGTTTGATTTCTGGACATACATTTTTTTTTTTCAGATATCTTTAATACCTGATAAATTATTAGGTATATTGTATTCTAATTTCATTATTACAAGCGAACCTTGCTATACTCTTTTGTCCTAGAAACCATAGTGTAAAAAGGGAGGGAAATTTATCAACTTTGAAGTTTGAAATTTGAGTCTGACATATTTAAGACTTGTTTATACATGTTTAGAAAAAGTTTAAATGAAAAGAAAGAGATTGTAACAATTTGAAAGTTATAAGACATAAATCACAACATTGATGTCTAATTAGTAATTAATATAGTAAGTTATAATGGCTGCAACAGCATCTGCTGCTACGGCGACAGTAGAGGAAGATTTGGAGGAATGTGGACCACAGTTGATTACAAAATTAGAGGTTTGAGTTTACCCCTACGTTTTGTTTATTTATACCAAAAACAATGTTTCTAAATAATTTTCTTTTTTAGGGTAACGGTATTACTTCAGGGGATATCAAAAAGTTAGAAGAGGCTGGGTACCACACTGTAGAGTCCGTCGCATATGCTCCAAAGAAATGGTTAATAACAATAAAGGGCATATCCGAAGCAAAAGCTGATAAAATACTGTCAGAAGCTTCAAAATTGGTACCAATGGGATTTACGACAGCCACAGAGTTCCATCAGAAGAGGTTTTATATACAATTTAACTTATGCTAGGGTTGAACTTAGGATTTAAAATAAACCTTTGTTTTGGTCAATATATAATAAACAGATAACAGACACTCTTAAGATTTTACTGTTAAAAGAATAAAGAACTATTAAATAAAGATTTGGGAAAAGTTAAAATTAAAGATTTTAATTATATTTTAGGGCAGAAATTATACAGTTGACAACAGGATCAAAAGAACTTGATAGACTCCTTGGTGGCGGTATAGAAACAGGCTCAATCACTGAGATCTTTGGAGAGTTCCGAACAGGAAAAACACAGTTGTGTCATACTTTAGCTGTGACTTGTCAGGTAATATGTTTACTGGAAATACTTATTCTACTAATATTTGATAAGTGCATAAAGTATTGATGTTTGTTGATCTTTTATGCAAAAACTGCTTAATGGATGGCGATAAAATTTTTTAGTACCATAGCTTCAACATCAGATTACAATATAATTTACATTGAAATTAAATGTAGTTTCTATTGGATCATGGTATAGCATTTGTATTCATTAATGAAATCATGACACAGACCATCATTGATGCTGCCAGTTGACTGTCATATCTTCTCTTTTAACTTAAGTCATAAATTACTTTTGTTAGTCATATTCGATTGTTCTCATAGCCAATGCAGCAGGCAATAACTAGTTAAATATATATGTGTTTTAGTAATAAGCTGCAGACATTTTATTAGTATTGAAAATTTAATGAATTTTGTATAATAAAGATACACATATTATAAACTATTTCACTCCTTATATTAAAAATTAATGAATTATTTATTTTTCATAATAAGAGGTGATTTTAGTGATATTTTTGATATCTATCCAGTTTGTATTCTACAAATTAAAATTGTAATTGTAAAAATGTATAATTTAAGACACAAAATAATGTATAAACTATTGTATGTATTTGTTATGAGAGGAACTTAAACCATATATGCTTATAGAGTGATCAAAATGGTTCACATTTCAAATTTAAGTGAAATAAGTTGTCAGATCCTCTAATAATTTATTTATTAATTAATTTTCAGCTTCCGATTGAGCAATCTGGTGGAGAAGGTAAATGTATGTACATAGACACCGAAGGAACATTTAGACCAGAACGATTACTAGCTGTGGCTCAGAGATATGGAATGGAAAGTGCTGCGGTTCTTGATAATGTGGCATACGCAAGAGCTTATAATACAGACCATCAAACTCAGCTCTTAGTACAAGCATGTGCTATGATGGCTGAATCGAGGTTTGTCTGTGAAAACAATATTAGTTTCTTAATATTAAACTTCACTTGTTGAGAAATGTGTTAGTGAAAACAGAAGGAGCTAATTATAGAGAGACATGTACATATGTGCATTCATAATTTTTTCGCCTTCTATAGAAAACTGTGAAAAATTAAAGTATTCTATATGAATTTATCAATATAAAATACATTGTAAATGTAAATGTTAATAGAAAATGAAAATTTTCTTCAAGCATTTGGTCTAAAATACTATTTTTAATTTACATTTCATATAATTAAATGTATGTGTCCTGCACCAAAACACTGTCTAGCCTTCTATATTACTATTTATTTAGTTTACAAATTTAGAAACTTTCTATCTGAAACTAAATTTTATGTTATATGGCTGTTTTTGAAGGCTCAGTTGCCCCTTTATCATTAAAAAAAATTAATAATAATGCAGCTTTTTTGTCATATTTCAGATATTCATTGCTGATAGTAGATAGTGCAACAGCTCTTTACAGAACGGACTATTCTGGTAGAGGGGAATTAAATTCTAGACAGTTACATCTCGGAAGGTTTATGAGAATGTTACTAAGATTGGCAGATGAGGTAGTAAGATAACTATAGAATTGGCCAAAAGTATTAGGCACCCCAAAAATACCTTACAATTATAGATCCAAACAACTTTTACTTTTCAAAGCGATTTATTAATATTAATAACATATAAAAATAAACAAAAAAAAAAATTTAAATCTAGTTGGTCCACCTTTAGACTTAATCACTGCTGCAATTCTATGAGGCATGCTCCGAACAAGTTTAGTGCAGTCATGCCTTGTAATGGAAGCCATTCTTGCACCAACGCATTTTTTAATGCCGTTTTCGATGTAATGCTGTGCTCTTTGAGTCTCCGCTTCAAAAGACCCCAAAGATACTCCATTGGGTTAAGATCCTGGGACTGTGCAGGCCAATCCAACAAAACAATGTTGTTGCCAGTAAACCAGCGCATTGTATTCGCTGATTTATGACCAGGTGCATTGTCTTGTAGAGCCCACTCAAGACGATTTCTTTTGTTTGTCTCTGAAAGCCAGGGCTTCTTCCTAGCTTTGCATCCCTTTAGGCCTGCTTCGCTAAGTCTTCGTCTAACTGTAGGAGCGGATTTTGGCTTTCCAACCTCTTCGGACAAGCCAGCAGCCAGCATTGAAGAAGTTTTCTTCCGATTTTTCATCGATTCGCGTATCAATTTTCTATCCTCGCCCTTCGCAGTGACACGTTTCCTGCCTGTTTTTGGTTTATTATAATAAGTACCAGTCTGAGCAAACCGTTTGATGGCAGATTGTACAGCGCAACGCGAACATTTCACCAACTTTTTATTTTTATTTTATTTAACTATTTCTTCTTGCGACTTCCCTTCTTCAAATAAAAGTTGTATTTTTACTCGATTTTCAAAACTAATTGCACTCCTTTTCGGCATTTTTAATGAATTAGATGTTAATGTAGTTACTTAAACAGAAACGAAAGGGTTGTTAACTCTTTAGATAGTAAAATGCTACTGACCAAATATTGACTGATAAGACCGCAAGAAAACACAAATCCTTTGTTTTCGGTTACCTGTTTTATGACCTTATGAATATGCCGCTGACCTTTCCAGGTAATGGTTTATAATCCCGAAATATTATCCAAGAAACGAATTTATATATTACTAGCTTTTGCCGCGACTTCGTCCGCGTGGCATAGTGACTTCCGGCAGATTTTTGGTTCTCCCCACATAGTTCCCGTTCTTGCGGGGTTTTCAGAAAGGTCGAGTTCCCGTAGAGTTTTCAGGATAAAACCTATGTTTTTTTTTTATTCACAATGAAGTACTCTTAACCAACAACATATTTATTTGTTTATTTGAATAAAGATTAATATTATTATGTTGATACAACTTAAACAAATTATTTCGACCAAATAAGGTACAATAAAAACGGTTTTTGTGAGTTAGTCTTAAAAGATAGACATATACTGTCGCGGACTGTTTTTTAGATCATTAAAAGAGCTATTATTCTTTAATACATATTTTTTGTGTATCTTGAACCTTTTTCACGGCGCACGCAACGGAAGGCTTCAAAGATGAAATAATTTCTCCCCTTTTTAACACGTTTACCACTATATCTTTGCTCCTATTGGTCGTAGTGTGATGTTATATAGCCCACAGCCTTCCTCGATAACTGGACTATCCAACACAAAAAGAATTATTCAATTCGAACCAGTAGTTTCGGAGATTAGCGCTTTCAAACAAACCAACAAACTCTTCAGCTTTATAATATTAGTATAGATTAGATATGCAAACATTAAATATGCATTTTTAAGGGGTGCCTAATACATTTGGCCAAGGCTGTAAATATTACATTGATATGATTATTTATTGCTAATTTTCTTTTCATTCTTCTAGTTTGGTGTAGCTGTTATAATAACGAACCAAGTAGTGGCACAGGTTGATTCTGTGGGTGTGTTCAATGCTGATACAAAGAAACCTATCGGTGGACATATTATAGCTCATGCTTCAACCACGAGACTTTATTTACGGAAGGGCAGAGGTGATAATAGAGTTTGTAAGATATATGACAGCCCCTGTTTGCCAGAAACTGAAGCTATGTTTGCTATCAGCACAGAAGGTATCACGGATGCTAAGGAATGAATTATCAGACAAGTTTTATGTTAGTAATGTTAATAGATTTTAATTAATTACACTTACAGATGGTTATAGTATAGTAGGATCGAAATCTGATATGGTATTTGTATGTTAAATAGTTTAGTTGTATCTCTAGTTTAATTTATAAATTTTTGTAAAATTATAATAAAAAATATGATTTGCTTTGTTTTTTTTTCTTATTTGTGAAGCTATAATGTGCTTTGGATAATCATTAGTATAGATTTTAATGGCTCCAATGATGATTGAGATATCAATAATTATTATTTTCATATTTTTATTCTTTATGCTACACTATTATTATTTGCGATACAGATGTTTAGTAAATTTTATTCCCATATAAGCTACAATTGAGACACCTTAAATTTTTTATCACAAATATACATTTATTCATGATTAAAATAACATTTTTCCTATGAGATCTAAGACTATCGTGAGTACTCATTTAAATGAAACTAATATTTTCGGATTTACTACGTGTTTTGATTTCTCCTACCTGGTTGAAAAACTTTTTTAGTCCCGTAGAGAAGTGGTAGATTCTCTCTCAACAAATCAGTTTAACTTTCAGTTACATTTTGCAACTGTATGGTTATCTCCGCGTTTAATTTACACTGCAAGTTTATTATTTTTTGTAATAATTCCTAATTGAAAATGAACTCGCAAAACTAGTGATAGAGAATAGACGGTGACGAACTAATAAGAATTTTAAATCAAGATTGATTTTTTTTAGTTTTTGATTGGGATTTGGGGGGTTGCGTCACAATACAAACCGGGATTTAGAATCTGAACCCCTTTATTACATTATTTATGTTGAGGTCGACGTTTTCATCTCGATGAAAAAACAAAAACATTCTAAGCGCGATTGTCACTCTAATATACTACATATTTAGTTATATTCCAAAAATTAAAAATATGAAATTCAAAAATTTATCACAAAAGCATTGATTTAGTGAGTACAGCTGATATTTCTTGTAAATATTTTTAAATCAACTAAATAAAAGTTTAGTTATTGATGCATATATTTTGGTCACAGTGACTTTATCTTGTAAATTTCAGTAGAGTTTAGAACCATATAACAAACAATAATTGAGTCAAAATATTTTATTTCCAACCAAAATAAGAACATTCAACACCAAATAACCTTTTTATAATAAAAATAAATAACACTGACGACACATTCTATTACAAAAGAAATCCTGTTCACAAATTTAGTATTATTGGAATGAAAGAAAAATCAATAGGGAATTGTTACGGGATAATTCTTATTATTTCCATTATCAACAGATTTTTAAAGGATGCGTATGAATTGTACTGATAGCTGACAAATAAAGATGACTTATAATGCATCTTATTCCACTATAAAGCACAAAACTATTGATATACTAAGTGTTACAATTAATTACTTATGTCCAAAATGTAAGTTATGATTGTTATATATATAAAATTTTGATGTAATTAAATGAGAAATCATATAGGCACTTAATGTACTGACAAAAATAGAACGGAAACATGATTCTGTGTGAGACGTTGATTTTAAGTATGAGAAAAATTTATTATTATATAATTTCTATACATCTTTCAATAAGGATTTACATGTAATTAAGATTTTTGTTAAAAGTTTATTTTGAAATTAAATATAGTTTTATTTGATAGTTTGTAGGTCAAATATTTTATCTACAAATGACCAAAACTACCTAAGCGATACATTACTACGCTTTTAATGAATCAATAGTAGAATTTACATAAAAACATTGTTAGGCGAATTTATTGCTATATTTAATATACTAATATTTATTAACTAACTATTTTCAGTGAAGTTTTAAAAGGGCGTAAGTAATTTTTAGACTGTTGCAAACAATTTTGATTTTATATACTTCTTTTATTATGAAATATAATTAACTTACTCGCTGCTAAAACCTCACAATATTCTCCAAGTTTTCTATAGACAAAATATTCATGTTAATATATATTAGGAATTCATAGAAAAATTGAAATAATGAATATTTAACATTTTGAAACATATATTTCCTACCATTTATATATTATTTTTGACTAGATTAAAAGGAAACCTTTTCCGATTATTCCATTTTTCAGTTATATTTTGTCATATGAAAACTTCGAAGATACAAATAAATTAATGTACAAAAGCTCTTTATAAATTATACATTTAGTATAGGATTGAGTATCAGCGGGAATAATTTATATAAGTAAATACGATTATATATTTTGGGCCCAAAATTTTATAACTTTTAGGTGTATATGTATATATTGTTCAGAATGTACCAACATAAAAAGTGCCTTAATTTTGTACTTATGACTGTATATTTAAAAAATAAATAAATATGACAGATTTCAAGGACCCATACAAACTTAATTTTACATATAAATCATTTAACTAAATATTTATAATCACCTACTCAATAAAATCAAATGTTTAATAATAAAAAAATGCCAGGATTTACATTACAAACACATTCATATATAAAATAAGTCAAAAACACTAATAATAAATAAATGTTGTGATACTATATAAATATTTACATTAATAAATATTTTGATGTCTCTCATTACTAATATTGTCAGGCAAATATATGAAACAAACTATGTATTTACTTTAATTTCTTTTAAATATTTATATGATAATTTTATCTATCCAACGGTTTTGAATAAAGTAAGAAAACATGTGAATTTCTAATTGATTTACCATAACACCTAACTGTATTCCATTCATGGAATCTTTTAACTACCATTATATTTCTAAGTACTTGTTTATTCTACATATTATTTGCGAATTAACTAACAATATGTCAAAAAAGGTATTTTTTATTACTTTATTATACCTCCAGTTTCTATATATTAAGGAGTTATGTACTTCATAGTTTTTCCGCTGTTATATTTTGTCCAGAATGTTCCAATATTGGTGGATGTGGGTTTAAGATGCTTCCCTTTTGTATAAGAAGCTCGTGTTCCCGAGCGACCAATTCCCGTAACTCGTCCTGGAAAACAATTTAATGTTTGGATGAATAGCTGTTCAGTAAAACATTTAGTGTAAATCTGAGATGATTAGCATTTTTTTTCACTTGTAAATAAATTAACCAAACAAATTTAGTGAACATATAATGAAAAAAATATTATTACTTGAGAATAAAGGTTTTATGAAAACAAATCTTTTAACAAATGACACTGTATACAAAATGTATGGAGTAACTAATATGCATATGTTCTGTTTTAATTATCTACTATAAATTAAAGTTTATGAGAATGTTTGGATGTTCTTACAATAAAATATACTAAACAGATTTTGAAAAAACTTGGATTTCATGAAAACATATCATAATATATCCCTTTGTAGAATCAGACCATACATAGGTGTGCAACTAAGTTTCCGGGTTTTTTTTTATCAATAAAAAATAGAAAATTTTAAAATACAAAAATGGTTAATTAAAAATATCACCCTTCGCTAGTACACATTTTTGCCATCTCTCTTGCAATAAATGGATACCGCGACGATAAAAGGTCTCGTCTTTGGACTGAAACCATTCGTCCAACCAATTTTGCACTTCCTCGTAATTAATTAAGTGTAGCCCAGATAAGCCATGCGCCATCGAACGGAACAAGTGATAATCGCTAGGGGCGAGGTCCAAGGAATAAGGCGGGTGCGGTGGCAGATCACATTTCAGCGTTTTTATGGTGTCCTGGACAATTTTACTGCGATGGCACGGTGCGTTGTTGTATTGCAATATCACTCGTTCATGTCTTGTGTTCCATTCTGGCCGTTTTTCGAGCAAGGCATGGTTCAAATTGATTAATTACTGTCGGTAGTGATGCCCATTGACAGTTTCACCCAGTTTCAGCAGTTCGTAGGACAGGATACCTTTTTGATTCCACCAAACGCAAAGCATTGTCTTCTTTCCAAAGCTGATTGGCCGTGCCGTCGATGTTGATGCTTCGCCAGGGGAAACCCACGATTTTCTGCGTTTGGGATTCTTGAAATATATCCACTTCTCATCGCCAGTAATAATCCTATGGAGGAAACTCTTTCTTTCATACCGCAAAAGCAAAATTTCGGAAGTGGTTTTCGATTTTCCATCTGTCTCTCAGTCAAGTCATGCGGCACCCATTTTCCTTCCTTTAATTTTTTCCCATAGCATGTAAACGTTGGGAAATACCTTGGCGAGTCACGTATAATGCCTCCGCAAGTTGATCTTGTGTCTGTTTGTCATCTTCATCCAATAACGTTTGCAGATCGGCGTCCTCAATTGTTTTTGGTCTACCGGAGCGCTGCTTGTCCTCGATGTCGAAATCACAACTCCTGAATCGTTTAAACCACTCTTCACAGGTAGTTTTTGATGGTGCGTGTTCACCGTAGGCCTCCTCGAGCAAACGACGTGCTTCAGCTGCATTTTTAAAAAGTTAACGATGAAAAGTAAAACTTCCCGCAAATGCCGTCTATTTGGCACAAAACTGGACATCTTTCTCGTAAAAAAATTTTTGTACGCTACGGTACTTATTGATGTTACCACTGGTTATTGTTACTAGATGTCCAAGCTAGTAAAAAAATACGATTTCAGACATGTACGTCGATTGCATTTATCGCTAACGGCATCTATGTGTGGAAACCCTTGAACTTAGTTGCACACCGTAAGAGTTTGAAGTCAAATAAAAAAGATTCTAATGTCAATAGATTTGATCACAAAACATCTATTATATTAAATATATACTTAACTAATTTATATCTGTCTGTACTAAACATAACAAACAAAGTTGCAGAGACTTGTTTGTCATAAACCTATGTATAAACTCACCCCCCATCCGAGTCTATCAGCCAGTTCCTGACAGCCATCATCACATTCTCCGAGGCGAGCCACATCTCTTACACAATCTTCATCCAGTTGAAGCCCACCGCTGATGCCCCACAGCCGTAGCAGTGGTGAACGGATACCAGCTTTCTCACGGTTGATCAATAAACGTGGACACCATTCAGGTACCCTGTATTTATGAAAAAATAACAAAAATTATCAATAGATTTACAAATAATAAACAAAAATAATTAATCCCAACATAAACAAATAATTTGCTCTGGCTTAACAAATAATTAACACAAAGAATGTAACTGCATTAGTTGCACTTTTAAATTGATGTTTTACATGTTACTATAAAATATCTAGATATAATTGAAACAAGAGAACCTTTATATCTGTACAGGTTCGCATCACCACACTACAGATTTAAAGACATTGATTTATAAATCTAAATGACACTATCATGTACCTAAATTTAGTAAGTACTCATTATATACTGTGTTATATAGTTTTACTCGGCGAGAAGCGCACCCCATATACCAATATTGACTGTCGCTACTGGGTAAAAAATACCACAATAATATTAATGTAAGAACTAGAGTTATTTTATGGATAATTAAATATAACCAATTTTTATATTTTATTGTGTTACATTTTCAATTAAACAAGACAGTTGGAAACTAATAAATGCTACCAAGCATTAATTATACCAATAATATGTAATATTTGAAATTTTAAAACAGCCCAAAAGCTCAGCCATTTTTTGCGATTGTGGCTGGAGGGCTCTTTCATGTTGTTTATTCGGAATATTGTTATTTTGCTTGCCATTACCACCAAGTAAAAGTATTATTTTACTTTTCATAAATGTATGTAGGCAGGTTTAAGATGGTAGATTTACACTTAATTTGTGGCAATACGAGAGACAACACCTTCAAGTAATCTCTTCTAGGTCTCTATCGTCACGATTTTCTTTATTAGTCGAACCATCGAACATCTGTCGAAAGGTATCTAAAACGGCGCTGCACAAAATTACTTACAAAAATAAATATTTTTGAAAGTATGCACTATGTGGTAAATTTTACCCGGTAGCGCCTCCCGTTAACCAAGCAAACTTGTGGCAAAAATCAAGTTTATAATGGGCGAGAACTGATATTTTTGGCAAATATTCATTTTATTTTTCAGACAAACTATTGAAAACTGTCAGTAACAAACCACATACAAATTAAATTATATTGTTAAGGGAATATATATTTATGTACTTACATATCAATTAAAGAAGCAAACGGTTGAACTTCAAGCGAGGACCCCATGATTATGAGCATGTCACATTTCTGAAAATCTTCCTGAAGACAATGTTGAAATCTTTCCGGAAGGCTTTCACCAAAGAATACAATATCCGGCTTAACAACTCCTGGGCATTCCGTGCAAATAGGAATTTGATCAGCAAATATAATCCCTAAAATATTAAACATATTTATAATGCACTAACAATGTGAATACCTACAGTTATTGTTATAAGTTTTGTTATTTGTAGTACCCTTTATGAACTCAAGGGGATATTCTTTTCGGCATTCAATACAGTGTGAAGTGTAGAAAGTGCCATGAGCTTCTACTAGCTTCTCTTCTGGAATTCCGGCCCCTCTCTCCAATGTGTCAATGTTTTGGGTATAATGGCGAAGGAGTAGCCCTGAAATATTTGTGATTTATTTGTTAATATATTTTATTGTTTTCACAAATTTTTACAGATGACCAAAAATGTTGAATTGATCGTACCTTTTTCATGCAAGAGCCTAATGAAATAGTGTGAGATTGTAGGCTTGAAACTTCCGGGAAATAATTCTTTTGCTAATGTAAAAAACGGCTTCGGATTCTGTCTGAAAAAGTTTATTTCAAATATGGCCTGCGGTTCTGGTAAATTGTACTTCTGCAAATTATGATACAGCCCTGTTTCTGGACTACGGAAGTCGGGAATTCCTGCAGCTAAAAAAAAAGTTAATTAAGCATATGAATAATATGATAATTATGCAGATTATATATATAAAGATTGTTATATTATGTATAATACATTTACCTGCAGGTAAACATAGGAGAATATAAAAAATACAAGAAAGTTTTTAATGTGATGCAACAAAAACACAACTTACAAGTAGATATGCCTGCGCCGGACAATGTTATGACATTTTGACATCTCGCACTTTTCATCCATTTTACGATACCATCTAAATTAACTTCATCCAAAACTTTTTCCACTGATGTTGACGGTTCAGACGGTTCGTAAAAACCAAGCTTCTGTGCTAAATATCTTCGAATGGAATCTACATCCAAGTCGCGAATTCTGGAACCTAAAGATTCTGCCGAATTTGGCGGGACCGACGGGTCATCCCCTAAAAATTAAAATATTTTCTTTGTTATAGTTATTAAAAGAAACAAGAAATAAAAACATATTTATTACGTACCATCACTTTTTCCAGCAGTTGAATTAGCTGACATATTATACGAAATTATGAAGTTGCGACGCCAAACCTTTATGCAGTTTATCCACGGCCTCTTTGACAGTTGTATGACGCGCATTCTCGGAAATAGTTAGGAAATATTTTTTTTACTAAGTACGCACAACATAATACAAAACAACAAATGATATAACTCCATTTGTTTAAATATATATTAAATGCGTTCAGATTATTATATATGTTAAGGGCGCGCAAAACGTTACAATTCCTCTAATTCCAATGTATCATTATAGCTAAAACTGTTAATTTACATTCGTAAATATCTATAAATAATTCCTAGGAGCAAACATCATTAATCAAAATATTTCTTCTTTTTGTGGAAAAACATAAAATTCTAATTTAAAAATTTGGCTACAAATCAATATTATGGCAATGAAGAAAATTAATGGCGGTAAATTTAAACAAAATGAAATGACTAAATATTTTTTAACAAATTTATTTCATTCGACAAAGTAGCGACAAAGTGCCTAGGTAATACTTAAAAATAAACAGAAATTTTATATTCATGTTACAATCTCTCATATTATTTATGGTTTACATAAAAACGATATAAATTAATATAAAATCTGAAAATAAAAAAGTAAATTTCAAGAAAACCTATTGAAGATAGTCCAACTAGAATGCTACTAAATCCCCCAACGTTGCCTGGAAAATTAATATTAACATTGAATTTATTTAACATGAGTGGTCACCATATTAACATCGAAACAAGAAATATACTCACTTACTAATTCGTACCAGTATGACACAATATCAAGTCGATTAAGAACACCAGTTGCTTTTCCTTGGTAAATGCTCAACAAACTTTTGCTTGACATATTTATTCCTTTTCTGCGAGAATATTAAATAACTACTGAATTAAGTTCTTACATTGGCATTTGGCAGTACGCAAGAAAGTTACAAGATTTTTTTTTAGTTTATATTATTAAGAAGGAAATAAAGTAACTCACAAGTATATATTTAAAAACTCTTGATTTTTGTCCAAGCCTGTTAATTCTATCTTAGACTGTTTAGTGAAATGTCTTGTTACTTCGCAGTCTGGCAGACAATGTAAACATCGTAAGGCATTCTGTATTTCTTCGTCTAGGCCTTCATTACTCTCAGCGTTCTTAGGATATAGGTAGATAAATTTTTCTATACAGAAATTTTCAGTTTTTAATTCTAAAAAGTATGTTTTGTATAGGATTTGTATAAAAAATATCATACCCATATGTTTGTTTAAACATCTTAAGTGTTGTATTGTGCAAACAGGCATATCTTGGTTTTTGCTATCCTTATAATAGTACGGGGTGCATTTGCATAAAGATTGTACAGCTTTTATTCGACAATTCATAATGCATTGGCTGTATGAGTATAAACCTTTGAATTGTTTCTTTAGTTCATCTTGAAAATAACATTTACGCTGGAACAAAAATAAAAGTAATTTTTCTAAATATTTTATTACATTCCTCTTCAAATATAATTTTTTTGAACTTTTGGATTACGTTTAATGCTAATTTAGTTTCGGACAATTGTGTTTTTTTTTTATCAAACAATCAAATGAATGGTTACTAACGGTTCCAATTTTATATTTGCGTACTTCCCGGGTAGCCGTTTGCTTGATAGAATATATTTCGAAGAAAGACAAGTAGTTTGGTTGAGTGATTTTTTGTATGACACGACCTCCTGTAGGGTCTCCGAAGTGGCTGGATTCGAAGATGAATATCTGAAGATTTTTATTATTATATTATCTGTATAAATATGAAATGGAAGAACACTTATTTTGAGAAGAGCGAAATAACGTCTATACCTAAAAAATCTAGCAAAACCAAAAGTTATATAAGTTTTTTAATAATTTTTATCTACGCGGACACTAAATAGCGAATAGTTAGACCTTTAGTATGTTGAAGATGTAAAATTCCGTGTAAATAGTGTGAAATTCTAAGTCAAACCTTCTAAAGTTCTAAGTGTGTGTACTTATAGTTTGCTTAAATGTGTGTAAAGCGATAATTTATCATTTTTTGGGACTGAACGTTAGATTTCCGACTATTCTAATTTTAATTATTGTTCCTGTCACTACAAATCTTGTAAATTTTTAGTAATTCAAAATTATAGTTAATAAAAATAAATAAATTTTATAATAATTATTGGTTACAGTGTCTGACAAAAAGATATGACATATTAACTTATGTTTTCATTCTTCTTTTATCATTCTTTCCATGAAATCATGACACAGTAAACAGACGTTACATATGGCTTGTAAGTTGAACCCTGTACTATTTGTGTTTATTTCATTAATAGAAAGTTCTAATAAGAATAATAATTTAGAACTCACTTCAAACCCCTTCATATTATATAATGAATAGGAGTAGTCTTCAACCATAGCATCTAGAATTATGTTCAAACCATACGGGACTCCCGGTACGTGTTGCCTCCTAGCTTTAAATTGAGTAGTCTCCGATCTACAATCAGCATTTACATAATAATAATTTAGTATATTTTGTTATAAAATCACGTCAAGGTCAACAAAGCATCTGCAACGTATCTTCCACTAGGTATTTTCTATCAAGTAGGCCGACTGTTCGTTTGCCGCTTTTAAAATAAATAGAGAAATAAATATATATAATTAATATCATGTTTTCTTATCTTTATATTTTAGAATTTTTTATTTGTTCAAAAGGGCTGATATCCATTTTGTCGTATAAAAATATAGAAATGAAATATTCGAATTTTCAATAAAAAAATAAACTTAAATAGATAATAGAACTATTCTAGTGACCGTTTTAATACTACGTAGTACTAATAATAATAGTAGTAATATTAAATACTAGTACGTCCTGCTACCGCATGTTGCATCCGTTTTCACTCATGTGCATAATTTATCTACGGTATTTAATATTTATTTATTTTGATGAGAGATTAAAATAAATATAGTGCTCAGTTTTTTGTTCGGTGTAGAATCTCATTGATTGTATTTTTACGTATTTAAAATTTTGAGTTGGATGCTAAGTACTTATTTCCTATTATCATATAGGTACCATTGTTATGAAGTTCAGATTTAAACGTGATTTAAGTTTTTTTTATGGCAAACGACCAGACGGCCTACTTGATGGGCAGTAGTGACTGTCGCGCATGGACATCCGTAACATAGATGTTGCGGATGCGTTGCCAACCTTGTTTGTTGAGGAAAAGGGAGGGATGGGAACAAGGAAATAGCAAGAAAGGGTGGAAAAAGGAAAGGGCAACCGGCTCTCTCACTCATCGGACAAAACGTAGCCAGTAAATACTACTTCACGCCGATATTCTATGAGAGGGTGGTACTTCCCCGTTCGAGCCATCCGATGTTCGAGCTGTAGTAACTTGATTACAGCTAGGCTCTACCACTTAGAAATTGTTATCATTTCATCATTTTATTGTTCAATTATGATGAATAACCAAAATAATAATCTTTTAAATTCCTTAAATATATGTTTAGTGCCAGTTTGTTCAGCATTCGTCTGTGTTTTACATGTCCCAAATAAGCTGAAAGTTTTCTTGTTTAATCCTAACGTTTTCTTAATAACATTCACCTGTTAGTATCCTGATGATCCGATATATGGTTGAAACTGCAACAATGACCTCTTACTGTGAGATGTACTTCAAACAGTTCATTGCAATCCTGTATGACACCCAACCATGAGCATTTTATCAACATTTTGTCACAGGGCGGCGATAACTGGAATATTAATAGAAATTGTAATATTAAGTTTGTTGACGGCTCAAAATACGGTATTTTTTATAAATATAAGGATTTTTTTATTAATCACGAACTAAATTCTATATTAAAAACAACACCACGAATACTAGTTTAAAAAAAACATTATTTTATTCAAAGATGAACGTATATTTTTGCTTATAATTTTGACCAAAGAATTCATAATTGTATTTCAAATATGTAAATACTAAAACGGTTAAACTTAAAGCAAAGTATTATTTTTTACCTCTCTCATAATTTCTATCACACTGTCATCATTTTCCAAGTTGTCGTAAAATGTTTGGTATTTTGCATTCAAAAGTGTCTTATTATATGAATAATCAATCAATCTTCCCAACTGCAGTAACTGCTCCCGGATACCTTTCGCATCTTTCTTATGATTATTTCTTCGTTGGCTGCATCGGTTAAGGTTATTTTAGGAAAATATTAACTTGGGTCCAAATGCTTACTATAAAAAGACTAAAAAAACATCTACGGAATTATAATTCCTTTGCATCTTCAAACCAGTCCTTTGAAGTCGGCCGAAAATATGTTATAACAAGCAATGTATGCGATTAGCGCTACTTAACTCTAACGAGTAAAGTAATAGTTTTAAACGAACTCACAATTTCTGGACGTAATTTTCGAGCGCCATCTTGCTTATTCTATTAAAATTGCATATTGTAACAGCAGGAAAATCAATGTTCGATATTGGGTAGGTCGAGGAGTCCATAACTATTATTAACGGCTTTGATATGTTTCCGTACCACAAGTATTGGAGAAAATAGAATATACCCGCCAGCATTACACAGAAGAATATGATTCTGATGATTCTGTATTTAAGATTATAGGTTTATTTACAAAAGATAATTCATAGATTGTAATTTCATACACATATACTTACCTACAACATTCCTGTAATCTATAACTATATGAACCATAAAAGAAATTACTAATATTCTTAAAAACTAAAATTGATAAAAATTAAAAACGTAAAGTGAAATTCCTCCTAATAAGTGCTCTCTACTTCTTATACAAATTTCTTTAAATTTGGTTCTTACAAAATTCTTACTAGCAGAGTGATAAGTACAAGACAGTACTTATCACTATGCTAGTAGTGCATCTCAGAATGTGATCCTTTTTAATTTTTAGAAAAAAGTATATTAGTATTTGGAGTAATATATGTTTTTATATTAATTCAAGGGAAAGCCAAAGCCTTATCTTATTTTATACGTCTTCTCGCTCTTTCTAAACTCAATTTGTTCATAATTCATACCCAAATCTAATCTTGTATTTTCATATATTTAAGTTTAGATTACAGAATTAAAAAATCTTCCTTTTGTTTTATCTGTATGCCTAAGTTGCCACCGTTACTACAAACAGAGCGATAACAGTTTTTCATTCATAAATCATCTAAGATTATAGAATTAACGTACCTAAGTTAAGAATGAGAAACCGGGAACGCTTGGTATGTAGTGTGACAATGCATACTTAGATTATGGATAATGGATTAACCGTTTTCATTATGAATGACCTATGACTGGATTATACATGACACTTGACATTTATTCCACTTACTGATACGTGGAGATAAAGTCGTAGGTAGTGAATAAACTAGCTCAGTAACAAACTATTAATTCTAGCCTTGAAATTAACTTAATTATAATTAGTAGGAAACATAGATTCAGGAAAACTGTTCCAATTCTTGGATGTGGGTATGAGGAAGAAGAAAGGATTGCTTCCTCTGGATGCATGGAAGGTCCGCAATGAAAGTACCACCCCAATTACATAAATAATAGATTTGAGACAAATCTATACTACCTTTGTGTTATACAGATGTTTGGTTCACAAACGTGCTTCAATCCAGACAGTGAACAATTATCTATATACTCTTTTAATGTTGCCTTAAACGTTTGTCTCAAAATAGTTTCAGTATTTAAATCCTTTACATTCGAACCTCGCTTCCTTCTATATTCCCGCCACCATATTTTCGAATTCATTATTAAATAACCAAACACACGTTCAGACTGTTTACTGTAATCATTAGGTCTGCGTGTTTTAAAAAGTTTATAACGCCTCAATTGTGACCACAGAAAATCAATGCGCTGTAAAAGGACATTATTACGTATTGAATAATTAATTTTTTGTACGCAGTTCTCATTTTAGTTAAGATTATTTTCACGATTACCGTGAATTTTAAATAATGGTGTAATCTGAATAGTAATAAAACAATCGTACATCTACATTTTGGAGAGAAATCGCGTGTTTCCTAAAGTAGGACGAGCCACGGGAATCATTAAAAATAAACGTTGACACGCCACCTCATTATTTTATTCACGCTGAATATTTATTATTTATTATTGTTAACAAGAAAACATTTATTAAATATGTACGGTATGTATTGTATTTAAACGTTGTCGTTTACAATTAGTCTTGTGTTTATTAATAAATATGTATATAAAAGAAAAACACTGTATAAAAAAAACATATAATAATGAAACAGTTTAGGAATTATATTGACAACTGTCGTAATAAGTTGTAATGTATATAATATACTAATTATAAATGAAACAAATAAAATATTTAATATTAAATTTTTTTTTTTAATTATTTATTTTTTCACCTTGATACTTGAGAACAATTTAACAATATCATTTAGGAAAGGTATGAACCATTTCATTTTTTTTTTAATCAACAAATCAACCTTTCAAGGGAAATCACGTTAATTCAATTTATTATAATTATTCTCACTTCTCATATGAAATTGATAACCATATATTCGGTTAAAGAAAACCTGCATAAATCTTTGAAGATTTAATATTTTATCTAATTATCCCATACATTTGGTTACTAAACAGTTCTTAAATATGTAAATGTCTACGGCAAATGGATATTTTATGCTAAATGCATCGAAGCCACGGTAGCCATGTTAAAATAAGCAATTTGTTCAAAATGCCATTAGCCTTAATGAACAATATTTTTTACGCCATCTATTATGTTTTGCAAAAACTAATTAGTGAATCGTTTCAATAAAACTGTTTAGTGCCGCCAGCGCCATATGTTACATGGTTTTGTTTTCATAGACTATTCATTATTCTATTCTTGTTTATGGTCTTAACTCTTGAATGTCTATGATTTTTATTACTAACGGCTTTGAAAATCAATTAACCCTTATCATATACATAATTTATATAATTCTGTCATTCTAGAACCGATATCTTTAAAACTATTCACCTGGTGCTAACAATTGCACATATTTACCGGCAGGTGGATTTCTAACCGTGTTCGTAAGTCGATTGAAAAATATTAAAAACATCATTATTCAATTGTAACAAGGATTATAATAAGATAAGACAATAATGAAAATGAGAAAAGATAAATTTAAATAAAAACGGCCTTAGCACTAAAAATATAAAATAGAACTCATATTAAGGAAAACACAGATAGTAAAATTAGGATTCATAGACAATACTAACAAAACAAAAATGTAGCACAAATTGATTTTAATATATTTTGATAATAAAGTTATATGCTGACTGGATTTCTGTAAATTGTAACTTCATATGCTCCGATTTTTTTTATATACCTACTGATAGCTAAACGGAGCTACTATTTAGTAAATTAAATTGAAAATTAAAAGAAGAAAAACATCTTTGTTGCGAACATAAATCTTTAAACAACCCTAAAATATTAATAGTAATAAGAGTAAAATATTAGTCGGATAAATTAATAAGAGAAATTAAATTAAAAAATAACAGTTATTTTCACTAGAATAAAAACACAAAAAAATATATCAAACCAGAATATTTAAAATAACACTTATAAGAATGACTTATGACTAAAAATAATTGTATGTCCAAATTTTGTAGGAAATTTATTAAAATCTATAAAATAATTCGTTACATGTTAGGTACATGTTTTCGCTGTTATCACATATCGCTGTTCCACTCAAGCATTCTGATTCTAGAGTACCTTCTTATTCAAAAGACCACGAAACAATGAAACTTAGTGCAGCAGAACCCAAGTAAACATGATCTGAGCTATTAGCCGCTTAAAGAAATGTTACGTGGTGTTATAATCTTTAAATATATTTCAACTTTATTTTTTATTTTACTAATTTATTGGAAGCCAAACACAACATTCTCTTTTTATTCCATTCCATTGCTTGTGTGGTGTCAGGAATCTTCTGGTTCACACGTCTTGGTCTTTCCGCGGAGTCAGCAACGTCACTCGTTATATATTTTATTCATATACCGATGTTGCCACGACATCGTCATTTAACACTACCAACTTCAGCATCAATTAGAGTAAGCTCACCATATTACAAAGTGATTGAATGTTGGCATAGTTTTTATTAACAAATAAGTTTAGTTTTTATTTGAAACCACAAATCTTCCTGGAACTATTCTGTCATGTCAAACATGTGAAAGACATCTCGTCTAACCTTGCTGGGTGCATATATTAGTTATATTTAAATGAATTCTCCCTAAAGTCTTTGATAGTATTACACAAAATACATATCAAATATACAGAATCTAAGCAAGCTTCCTTAGTAAAAGACCTGTATAGAATGCTTATTCTAATTTTACTCCGTCACTAAATACGTTTGTATTTTCATTCACATCTCTTCATAGGTTATTGAATGTGAAATGGGGAACGCTTTTCATGTAGTCAGTAGTGTTACTACGACAAATAAGATTAAGCAAAGAGTATTAAATATATCTCAATGAACATTATTTGTACGTAAAATACTTATAATATAATAAAACACAGGAAAAATAAAATATAGAATGCGAAAATAACAAAGATATTTTAAATAAAAATAATCTTAATACTAAATAATTTATTTATGTAAAAAAATGCCTGAATAATATACGAATGTAATGTCTTTCTTAGTAATAATATGTAGCAATAAATAATAGTCCATAATCCTTTAGCTAATTTCTTCTGGCTTTATCTACTTTTGAGTACAAAACTTGTTACTCACATTTACAGTTATAAAACATTTTTTTTTATATTTCCGAAAATAGTTTTGTATCGAGGATTTCTTCTTGCATCCAAATAAGATCTTCGTTAAGTTTTTGTAGACCTGTGGCTGGCATGACGTATAAAATTTTTTCAATTTGTGAATTAGGTACCTACCTATGTATTTATAGTGACGTATTAAACATATTTTCAAAAACCTAATGAAAGTATATTAACTCCTCTTAAATTCAATAAATGAACATTGATTATAAACTTTTATAAACACTAATAGTTTAAATTTTATTTTGGTTTAATAATTTAAATATTTTTTTTACTTTTTCGGTTAGGTATTTAAACAGTTTCTTAGTTCACACCATCTACTGTTATATTTGACATTTCAGTTTCCGCCATATTGCTGCAAAATATTACAAAAACTACGTTTACCAATACAATTTGAAATGAAAATTGTTATCTTTGGAGACGAAAAATTAAATTATCATCAAAACCAACAAAATAATTATAATGTTAAGAAAGTAATGCCTCTAAATAATTGGTTAGGTATCGCTAAATTTTATCAATAAATAATAATTATTACTACTACAACATTTCTTTTGTCTTCCGACGGAAAAAGTCACTGACTATAAACAAAAATGTTCTCCTTTCATTATGAACATTTATAGAGCATAATAACAAGATAGTTACATATTCATGTATAAATATATAAACATACATACACTTACAAGTACCTACTCCCTATAATTTATCGCC